CATCAATTCACTGATGAACTTGAAGGACTAATAAAACAGCGACCTTTTCTAGAATCTTTTTTTCACACAGTCATTATCATTGAAAATTGCAATTATATCCAGCAACAGTTATAAAATGTACTTGAACATGCTAAACATCCATATACTGCCTCTATGCATGGCTAGCCTCTTAGTAGCTCGAGGGAACTCTCTGACCTAGAAAGCTTCTGAATAAGTCAACTCCTCAAAGCCTTTGCATAACAGACCACAACCATCACCAAAAGTTCGAAAACCAGATATGGGAAGCTAAGGTGATAGCATTGCACAACACCCATCAACAGCTACATCAGGCCCACCAAGCGCCACCAGTACAAGGCATCCTGGGATTGCTAGATCAAGGAACTCAATTTAAGCTCATTGTCCATCATATGCTGGGTGGTTCGTCATATGCTGACACTTCTAATGCCTGCTGAATCATTCTAATTGCTTATCAAACTAGTATCATATCAAAAAATGTTTTATTGTTTTGCAGTAAATACATGATAGATTACAAAATTGAGAGTAAGGTGCGAGCTCGAGAGAATGGCAGAGGTAAGAAGTAACATGACTGGTAGAAATACTGCAGATATGTGACATATTGCAGTAGTAAATGTGCAGGTAGGCAAACCTATACAAGAAAATGTTGTCAGGAAGATAACCAGAAAAGAAATTGTGCATGCACCAGACCACCAGATTACTTCGAAGTCCCATGCACTGCGCCCCTCGATCCTGAATTCTATATTGGATCCTATAAGTGGATATATGCACCATTAATAGAATCCTACATTACTGCTAATAACTTACTTTGTTGTTTTGAGAGTCGGATATTAGGCTACATGGTGCCATGCCCAGTAATTCATATGATGAATGATGGGAGAGAGATGTAGATGAGAGATGACGAAGGAGGCAGAATTTGCGAAGTCCGTTGTTTAGACTTGTTGATGTCGGAGCTTCAAATGCTTCAACGGTCGTCGATTGAACACTTCAAGGGTGTTTACCAATGTTTATAAATTTATTGAACAACAAAGGAATACCATGGAGCTTAGTAATTTTGCATTAGAACTACTACTAAGATACTGGGGGTGTATCCAGGCTGAGAGAAAGAGTAGCATATCCATATCAGAGTACTATCATAATGACAGGAGTATATCATTGAATATCAGATACATGCAACAATGGTATGCTACTAGCTACTTGACATCATAATGATCAAGTCCTTCTTTGACCTTCACAATCGCCATCATCCATGATCATAAATATTTGTCAACATCAGCCCAATCAGGGAATACCTGAATTTTGAAGTTTTGGTGATGACAATGCTTGTACTCTGCTCCGCTCATGCACCAGTCCCGCAGTCTGGCTCAGCTGAGAGCTACGGCGAATTCTAATACAAGTTCTACCATTGCGCTATTTGTGCAGCTCTATGCCTCTGAAAACGACATCATGATCTTGTATTGATATGGCCGCCATCTCAAACCGATATGTAATGTATCATGATTTTCCTCACAGTATGACTGTTAACGGACAGTCTAGCCCAGAAAATGTTGCTCTCATTTTGCATCATAATCATTATATTAGCATATCACTGGTTGCGTGCCCTCCTCATATCTCCAGTTGGCTTGTGGAGTCTTGTGTTAGCCTAAGGTCGAACCATAGTTTCCATCTCAAACGTATTGCGGAGTGCTTTGAGTGTTCGAGTGGTCACATTACATAACCCCCATTCGATTACTACATTCATGTTAAGAAGTACGCTGGGTCCCGACGCAGTGGACGTCCAAGGTAAGTGTCCTTGCACATTTACAAATTAAAAATGCAACTGACCCTATGCATCACAGTTTCAGACCTTTATGATTCTACCATGACGCGTCTTCACATCTGCCATTTTTTACTGCGCTATAATATATGACTTTTTTTCTTGTGCTCGAGCTCGCTTGCTACTGTCTTAACCAGGTGCCACTGCCGAGGTTCATGGCTGTGGTCGAGTGTGCTGCGACAATGTCGTTGTTCCCATAATTGGATCCTGATTGTGTCTCTCCAAATCTGATATCATCCTTTAGTGGAGAAGTACCAGCACTCTCTTGATCGTCACATTCTAAGTTTATAATTGGTCAGTGATCTTTGTGTTATTGTGGACTGATGCACTTGTGGTGATACAAAGCAGTTTGATTCCACAGATGCGTCTCCTGTGGTGAAGTGTCCACAGACACTTGCCTTTTTCTGACGTGTTGTCGGGGGATAATGCCAGATTGATGCCTTTGGTGCACGACCACAGTCGTCTTTTGTCTGCTGTTTCCCAGCCTGTCTAGTGGTATAAAATACTGAGTTGTTATCTGCTTTTCTCTCGTCTTTATCTTCACTGCATTCGTTCATCTTAGCCACCTCGCTTGTCAATTCATTGATATGTCTATGTGAGTCTGCTCGCACGTCAGGTCGATATCTTTATATCCTAACGATGCCTTTCATATCTGGGTCCTCGTCTTGCAGCCTTCAAATGCCATTCAATAAGTCAGTGTTCTATCTCCAGTTCGAGGACGCGCTTCATCTCATGATTTTCCTAGCAATTCTGTGCCCATGTCAGATGGTCATATGCCCCTCCCTGGCGACCCCAATTTTGTTCCATTGTCCAAGGAAGACATGGTTAAGTTGATCACCCAAAGCGACAAGGCATTCCTCGAAGTGACCACACAGCTGGATGTGTACGTGGCTCTACCTCATTGAAATCACTTACTCAAACTCACACTCTTGGACAGATTGTCTAAGGATACTGAGGAATTCATGCGTGGTATAGTGAACCAAAACGCGCTGGCAGGCCCAGTCGATGCTCACATTGATGGGTAAGCCAATCACATTAGCCTACTACCCAGGACAAGCAACTCACATCCAGCGACAGATCAAACTACGATGAAATCCTGATGCAACAAGGGTACTTGCACTTGTAGCTCATTTCTCTCCATTAATATTACTTATTTGTTTCTTCAGGACCTGGGATAATTCACAAGATGTTCAAAATCCTCAGGCGTTGTTTCTGATCTTGGAGAGTTTCACGGCCCCGGAGGCCAGTCTCCCCCAGTTGTCCCACATCGATCAGGGACTCTACTACCCTTCACAGACCTCTGGCGTCCCTCAAGTGTCCTCGCAAGGTCAGACATGGCCCCAACACAAATATAAACCTGGATACCTGAAGAACGGGCCTCCCAGTGTGTATTATACGCAGCCCTCTGCCGCACTGCAAGGCCCTCCATGTTCCCAGCATGGATGTAACCCTCCATATCATTACAATGGACCCCCTAGTGCGTATTATTCGCAGCCATCTTCGGTCGTTCCAGCACCGCCGCAAGGCCACGCATGGCCCCAACATGAATATAATTCTGGTTATCATTCCAATGGACCCCCTTCTATGGTCGTTCCAGCACCTCCCCAACACGGATATCATCCCACTCCTTCCTACCCTTACCAACCTCATAATATCGCAGATCCGTTCAACGCATATCACCCAACCGTGGTATCCCCCAAAGGTCAATATGCTCCCTTGCAGACAGAATATAGTGGAGCTTCGAGCACGGAGCCATATTTCTCTGCTCTCAACATGACGACATCTGCCATGCCTCAAAAGCGTATACCATGCCACACCTTCAATTCTGAGAATGGTCTCAGCTCGTCCATCGCACCAAGATTGCGCAAGTGCGGACGTCGGAATGTCGCTGGTGCCTCCACATTGGGAAAGTTTGGTCCATATATGTCAGTGGACGCCAGTGCCACGGTCATGGTCATGCCTATTTACGACCCAGAGCCTGTGGAACATCAGCAGCTGAAGGACGCATGATTCCTACAGTAACCCACTTCAAATAAGGAGATTTGGGGTGATGGAACTGGATGATCACTATCCTGATGAATCCAACAACATCATGGAGGAACTCTCACCAGAATTGACCTGCGTGCACTTATGCAATTGGACAGACCAGCCATGTGGTCTGTTCATAGAGATGAACAAGGCCCGGATCGACAACCACCTGTTATGGTGGCATGGCGTCGAAGTCAGGAACTCCAAGGCTACCTGCAAATTTGGAGATTGCTCAGACACGGAGATAAACAGATTAAGCCGTCACATTGAAGGGGTGCACTTTGCTACGTCCTACCAGTGCCCTTATTGCAATAAAACGTGGTCGAGGAATGATGCTGTGACTCGGCATCAGAAAAAGTGCAAATCATTGCTTGATAGCAGGGACCACGTTGAGCGTGCAAAGTACACCTTCTGTCTCCAAGCGGTGGTCAAGTTGGTTTCCGGATACATCGTTCCTGCGAAGAAGAAGAACGCAGCCTAGGACTGTGTTTGAATATGTACGTCCCCCTTATCCCGCATCTGTTGCTGCTGCTGACATCACTTCTTATTTCTGTGTTCTAGTACTTACTTCAATCATTGAAACAATTGCTCTCTACGCCTAATAACACTCGTTTTCTATTACTTACATTCCTTTTGAAAATTCTCTTTACGGCTCACGACACTCATTTCATTATATCAACATTCATTGTGAACATTCTCTCTATGGCTAACGACACTCATTTCACTCTATTACCCCCTTTGAATATTCATTCAATGCTTTCTCGTTCTTGCTTTGTGCATCTTCTAATAGTATGACATTGATAGACTGTCTTGGAATGTGCCAAGGCCCGGAATACCCCGGCGCGTTGGACGTCAAATTCATATAAGTCCCATATGGGCCAAAGCTGGGTACCCTCATTGATAACCATGCACGCCCATTCCTGTAATCAATGCACCACGACACCGTTCACTGTTCACTTTTCCTTCCTTGCGCGCAGCAACTCAGTTATCCCAGCTCTTTGGATCAACAGGTAACAATGCTAGCTCTGTAATAGCCTATGGTAACTTCACATCATCATATTTTGCTCAGGATCGAACATTTTAAATAAAAAGCATGTAAGAACTCATACAGATACACATTCAAGTTGCCCATGCCATCTCTTCAGATATAGAACATCGTCTCCTTCAAATTGGGATGAACGCCATCACACCATGCTTCAAGAGCAGCGTCATAAACACGTTGTTTGGCTGCCTCCCTTTCGTCTGCCGCCACAGCCTTTCCTTTACCCTTGCCCTTACTTTCTCCTTTCTGACTCGAGGAGCCAGGTGCAGGAAGCTGCTCTGAGTTTAGAAATCCATCAAGGTAACACCGCACCCGCTCGCATGCCAGGTCAGCATAATACGCGAGGGGCACAAGGCTCACTGCCTTGGTGGCACGAGCATATAAGTAACTAGCGGTGTGTGTGCCCTGCTGTATGTCGTCAGTGCTAAGACCACTCTCATCATAGATGACTGTGTAGTGAGGAGGTCGCGCGTGGCCCTTGATCCCATCATGAGCTTGCAAATAGAAGTCGAAATCATGACTGGCAAAGATGAAGATATGAGCTGACTTCCATTTCACAGGTCGATAAAGACTTACACGGCGGTGATGCGTCTATCAACGACTGTTCCGGGACGCGTGTTTCCGTTTCGGCTCTGGTTCTTCTGGTCTTTCGGCCTGAAGCGAGCATGGTGCCGTTTCCCACAGATGATAATACTCAAGTGGGGCTGATACTCAGCAAGGTCCTTGGTTTCTTTGTGGATAGCCTTGAAGGCATCCAGAATCTTGTCCTTCTCAGAGCCGTGCTCGAGTACTGTGTCGAACTGACCCTAGAATGTAGGTGAGAGTTCTGATCAGGTATGTAAGGTGGAAGGATTATCGACTTACTTCTGAGACACCATCTCTGTAGACGATTACTCTCTCAGGGAGGAAACCACTCTTTTTTTTGTACGCTTTCAGCTGCTTTAGCATTATCTTTGTCAGTTCATTTATCATTTATGGGTGTCAATCAGCTATACGAAGGTAAAAAAAATGTTTGTTAAAGCAGCACACCTCTTTCTTTGACTGCTGACACCTCAAACTTGCAGGGCATTGCGCGAAAGACTGATCAATAGTGGCGATTACTGCAGCGATGGATGGGGTGCCTGGCTTGCTGGAAGGTCCAGGGTGAGTAACATCCATGCCCACAAGCATCGTGCTCTTCGTAGTGAGCCAATTCGTGCTTTCGACAGTCGAGCATATGATTGATGCCCCCAAGTTTCTGATTGAGCTTCAGAGCGACGTTGGCGTAGTACTGCTGCGGACCCTTATTTTTCAGGACCTTGTTCAGGACAATCGTGACAGAATGTATCCCGAACTCGACATCGCAGATGCGTTTGACGCCGGGGTATAGTTTCGTATCACGGAAAGGCAGGAGGACAAGTACGAACAGCAGATTGTCCTTCACAAGGTTCTGGATTGTCCGCTTGATTTCCATTATACCCTTCGACCGATCCCTGTCCTGAGATTGTCGGGGCAAGTGGGACGTTCTAATAGTCGGATCCTGGTTTTTGAAAGTCATTCCTGACTTCTTACAACCTTCTCTGAGCCCTGTCCACACTTTGGACACGTCGTCATCATTAGGAGGATACCCATCAGACACGACCAGAACTGCCCATTTGGCAACAGAAGCTCCAGTGTGGAATTTCACATTCGCGAGGTTCCAACTTCCTCTTGCCGGCTGCATGCAAAGAGGACCGTGACGGTATTGTAGACTTTTTGGCGGAGGAAGCTCTCGCCCAGGAACATCGGTCATCGTCTTGCTGATCGATATACCGAACTTGTCTAAAAGGCTCACTTTGGGTTCCATCAAAGCAAGCGAGGGTAATCCTTTGTTGATGATCTCTTCGAAGTTGACTTCCGGCGACCAGCAGGCATAATTCAGCATCTTCGTGGTCTCTTGATCATTAAGAAGACCTCTGAATGGCTGTGATTCAATCATACACAGCTCCAGTGGAACATAGTTCGCCCTCCTCGCTGTCCCAAGGTCAGCGACTGGAAGATCTGGACGCTTCAGCGATATCTTGTGAGCTAGTGTCTTGCGATCAGCTTAATGAACAACGGCTAGTAAATAAATGGCGATATTACCGGTTTGAAAATGCTCGGCGACTGAAATCCGGCGTCCATCCTTTTCAAACATCGTTTTCTCTGCAGACAACGTGGTGATCTGTAACAGAGCGGGCGGTGCTTGGTGTAACCGAGATATGTGGTGGTCACTTTGATATTCTGAGCAAACCGCTGCAGAGTTGCGCCCCTGGAAAGATTCGCAAATTCTTTGTACGCCGAATCCAGTCGTGCGGGCTTGTAGAACGGTGTCATGCATACACCAACATTGATCATCAGCTCTCCGAAAACAGGCCTTGTAGACAAAAAGAAGCCTCTAAAAGCCTCCAAGCCGGTAAGCCCGGGCGAGAGCTCGTTTGCCTTGTAACACGGGAACCCGAAGTAGCGACTGTTTCCGACTCGAATCGCAGTCGACGATGCATGTTGTTGAAGAACAATGTTGTATGCAGATATGAGCGGGGAAATGTCGTAATTGTCATTGATATCGACGTCACAGTGCATGTACTAGATGTACCCACGAGTTCGTGCTCACCTAGTGTTCGTGTTTTTGCGCTAGCACATGCAAATCACCACAAATCATTTAGATATATAGAAATAAAATGATCCTGCATTGTCAATGAATATTTCTATGTCTTTCATTTTTTAAATCATTGTGTTGTGCAAGTGTCATGATACAATATATACCGTTTGGAGACAATTTTGCACACTGATCAGTGTCGGAAAGGCAGACTCACACCGATCTTAACCTCGGAAGTGTTTAGAACATTGATCCAGACATATATCTAGCTAAAATGACAACTTCCGAGGTTGATTTAGAAGACTATTGATGTGCAAGTGAAGGATATGATATCTGGCGTGACAATCTACTACAAGACGTTACATCATTTTAAAATCCCGCCATGCCGCAATGAATTTTTCACGGCACCAGCAAAGCACCTGACATGCACCATATCACACAGAACTTGTATTCAAATCAATAATATACATACATGTTATCGAATTTCTACTACTGTCGTCGAGCGGGCGCCTCGAACTTGCGTATGTGTAGCGCAAGTGTAGCGGACTTCGAATCGGCAACGTCGGCAACCTGTGACACAGTGTGACGAATGCACGAACACTAGGTGAGATTGACTAGAGGTGCTCGCTCATGCTGTAGCAACACAACAGATCAATTTTTTAGTATATAAAAATTTGGGCCATGTTGAGATGGTATTCTATCTACTAATGACTATCCGATATTTATTTTGTGTTGTGGATCGAGAGCAATACGCGAGACCGTAAAAAAGCACGAACACTCGGGTACATCTAGTATCTGGACAATAAAATTAACGCAACAAGGCACGTCTCGTGGCTCAGTGCTTACTGCTTGAATTTGCTAACATCGCATTTGCGAAGCAATTCGAGGGAGACAGTATATTCTGGCAAGTTTGGGCCAGGCGTCTGTCCATCTTCGAAGAACCTCACAGAAATCTGCATGGGTTGGGGCAACTCCCTGGAAGATACTAACGTCTCTCTCCCGTCAAATGCTACGAAGGACCTGACACTTTGCCAAGTCAGGTTATTGGTCTGCTCAAGTAACAGTAGGAGACGACGCTGAACATCTTTGGCGTTCCTGGTCGGTTCGACTTTCACATGATACGTATAAATATGTGTATTTGTGATCTTCATTGCGAAGAAGTTGGCAACCAGTGTGACCGATTCTCCGAGGGTGCCAAACCCTGGACGGATAGGACGTTCATACCGAATGCCAACTTCACGACGCATCTTTTCTAGCGCTTGCTCATGAGACTGGAGCAATTCATCAGCTTTACCTCCTTGAGAGGCCTGCTGCGGCCTCGGGCTAGCAGGTAGCCCAGACTCGGAGGTGCTTCGTGCAGGGCCTGCAGCAGGGTTCTGTCACCTAACAGGGCCCCACTTGGCTCCTCCACGACCACGGGTGGCTCTGGTCTGAGCTTGGTTTGTAGGATTGCAATTGGAGGTATTCATGACGGTAAAGGAGTAAAAAGAGTCGATTTGGGAACTCGAACTGCGGTGTAAATTAATGAACCGCTGACTCAGGATTCCGAGTCAGGAAAGAATTTCATTTTCACACGCACAGACCAAATTTTAGATCAACATACATACATATCATATCTGCAAATACATGACGACGACACAAATACAGTATACTTGCACGACTTACAGTAGCCCCAATCAGATATAAAACATGCTCCCGCGCAAGTCAGGATGCACGCCTTCTCCCCATGCTGTCTTCGCTGCCAGAAACACACGCGCCTTCTCTTCCTCTTTGTCCACTTTTCCTTTTCCCTTCCCCTTCCCTGTCGCAACAGAGCTTGATACCTTGTCGTCGGTACTCAAGAAATCGTTCAAGTAACATCTCCCTCTTTCACAAGCCAAGTCGGCGTAGTATGCAGCTGGGACGAGGCTCACCGCCTTGGTGGCCCGAGCGTATAGGTAACTCGCAGTGTGTGTACCCTGCTGAACTTCATCTGCGCCAAGGCGGTTCTCGTCGTACACCACTGTGTAGTGTGTCGCCTTCACGTGGCCTTGCAAGCCAGCATGGGCTTGAAGGTAAAAATCAAAGTCAAATCTATAGTGATCCAAATGTTAGAAAGATCTACTCATAATCAAATAGACGGGCCATACACTGCAGTGACGCCTCGATCAACGACAGTTCCTGGACGGGTGTTACCGTTCCGGTCCGCGAACTGGGACTCGGTCGGCCAGAACTTGGCGTGGTGGCGCTTTCCGCAAATGATGATCGTCAATGCTGGGCGATACGGCTTTGTTTGGGGGACTCTCTTGAATGCCTCCAACATCTTAGGAAGCTCTTCCTCCAGCACGGTATTGAATTGGCCCTATCCATTCATTAGCAAGTGACATCAAGATCGAAAAAGCCCACCTCACTTCAGACACGCCATCCCTATAAACAATGACTCGGTCTGGTAGCGCTCGATTCTTCTCACTGTAAAACATAAGGCGCTCTATCATCATCGGAGTCAGGTCTGTAATCATCTAAAAGCAAGGGCTGAGTGCTAGGGCAACAATATTGTGATGTCGCCTACCTCTTTCTTGGTCTCCTGACACCTGAGACTCGCTGGGAATTGGACGAAAAAACTATCTGCGCTCGCGACAACGGCAGCAATTGATGGTGTGCCTTCAATACTACCAGGACCAGGGTGCGTGACGTCCATGCCCACAACCATCGTCTTGGCCTTTGTCCACCATTTCATGCTCTCCGAATCCAGCATATGGTTGATACCTCCGAGTTTTGTGTTCAACTTGAGAGCAACATTCGAGAAGTATTGATCTTGTTTATTGCGGTCCCGTAGCACCTTATCCGTAAGCATATGGAGGGTGTGGATGCCCAACTCGACATCACAAATCCGCTTTATTCCTGGGTAAATGTAGTTGTCCCGGCGAGACAGGATAATGAGTATGAAGGTCGGTTTTCCTGTCAGGGAAATTTGTCGTTTGATGGCCTGACGAATCGAATCCAGCGCCTGCTGTCTTGATGGGTCACGAGCGGGAGGAATAAGCGATTGGTTCAACAAAATGGGGGATGACCCCAGTGACATGCCGCTATTGCGGCATTTCTCACCAAAGCCCTTCCAGATTCCTTCCAAAGCCGGGTCGGTGGGCCCGCTGAACACACTTTGTCCATCTCTAATGACAAGCACCCACCAGCTCTTGATTGTTCCGCCAAGGTGGAACTTAACGTCAAGAATATTCCAACTGCCGCTGTTGACGCTGGGAGGCTTCCCTGCTTTGTAGCTGAGGCGAGGAGGGGGGAGCTCACGTGCAGGGATGACCGCCATGTTGTTGTCTACCGCCATGCCGAAGTTGCTCATAGGACTACCCAGTGTCTGAGGCGTAAATCCGAGAGTAGGAAGGCCACGGTCAACGATGGCATCTGCATTGATTTTGGGCGGATTGCAGGCAAATTTAATCATGCTCGAAGTTTCTTTCTCATTGAGACGACCTCTGAACGGTTGCCCAGGCTCTATTTCACACAGTTCGGCTGGTACGTATATCGAGAATTTTGAATTCGGGCCCGAGATGTCGACCACTGGAACGTCGTGTGCATGCTTCAGCTTGATGCGAGGGTATTCTGTCGAAGAGTTAACAATTGAATGACGTATGGGATTAAGGAAACGAACTTCTCTTGAAGTACTCTTCAACAGATATTTGGCCCTTGTACTCTTCGCAGTGAAAAGTTGTCTGCCTGGCAGTCGTAGACATGATCTTCTTAATCGGTTTCTTTTGCTTGTACCCTAGATGACTCGTGGTCACCTTGAGCTTCTGGGCAAACCGTTGAAGCATAGCGCCATTGGATGACCGGTTGAACTCGATGATGGCGTCGGCAAGGTTGCCTGGCTTGTAGAAAGCAGTCATACAGACACCGACGTTCACCATGAGTTCCTTATACACGGGCCTGGCAGACGTGAAGAAGCCTTTCCAGGCTTCCACGCCAAGCGCTAGGTCAAAGCGCTCTTGAGAGGGAAAGAAATAGCGATTCTTGCCCACACGAACGCCGGTACGCGATGCATGCGTTTGAAGGATTAGATTTATAGCAGCTATCAGCGGCTGGGGGTCGTAGTCTCGTGACTCGATGTTGCCACTGAGATACCTGCCACAATGAATTAATATGAGAACAAATGAAGCAGCAGCTTTCCGTGACTTACTTTGTGAGCTGTGCAACATCCAGGTTACCCGTGTGGGTAATTGAAAAAGTATATGTCTTGGATTTGGCGTTGGGACCAGCTTCCCCATCCTCATAATACTGGACATGCACGTCAAGGGGTTCAGGCAGCTTCTTGAAAGATACAAGCCTCTCGCTGCTGTCATGGCCGGTGAACGGCACAAACTCCCCCCAGCCTTGTTGATTGCTCTGTTCCAGGAGCCAGAAAAGGCGCGCACGAATGCGCTTAATGTCTGTGGACGGCGTGATCTGGACATGGTAGTCGTAAATGGGTCCCTTTGGAAGTTTGATGGGGAAGAAATTGGCTCGCAATGTGATTTGGCGGCCGAGGGTGCCGTAGCCGGGTCGGTGAGGGCGTTTAGCGTCGAAAGCGAGTTTCTTAAAGGAAGAGACCAATTGATCCAAGGTTGCCAGACGTTGGTCTACAGACGTAGGGCCCCGGAATATCAATTCTCCTGGGCCTCCTCCTCTGGGACCACCGCCATACCCGCCCCTCGTACCAGAGCCTCTTCCTCCACCAAATCCGCCACCACCCCGAGAGCCACCGGGAGGACCACCGCGGCTACCGCCTCTTCCTCGTGGATTGTTACTCATAGTTAAAAAATGTGTTAGTAGTTGTGCGGGAAGAGCCTAGCTAAAACATCAAAAAGCAGTTAGTTATAGGCAGTCGTGAGTGGCACTCCTGAAGCGAGTCAAGTACGCATCTTTGTGGCTGTACGACGAGGCTGTGAAGCATGTGAAAGGCAACGGGTTTTGCATTGTTTCCCGAATTCTGATGTTGATTGACAGAAATGATTGATTTTGCGCCCTATGATGCAATTCAAATCATTTTTTAATGCGATTATCTACGCTTCTTTGTCGTGCTTCTGTCACATTACGCTACGTAGTTCACAACTAAATATGGCCTATAACCCTATACCTCATACCTGAACACCTCGTAAGACCAACGATCGCCCTTTCTCCACCAGCGCGTCGTGCCCATCTCAATCTCACGCAGTGCAGGATAAGCTGCGGAGATCTTTGGCACGAGGAGTCGTTGCTTTGCAATATCACCGCAAAAGGTCACCGATTTTTGGTAATATTGAAGATGCAGTGTCTCGAGCTTTTCCGGAAGTGGGAGATGACCGTTAGCGATCCAATTCAAGAAACCCTGATTCGAAAAATTCATCAGAATTCTGCTAAGCTAGCTCGTCAATGGTCTCACCGATATCAAGAACAACGGATGGCGTGAGAAGTTATCGCTATCACGCACTTCCATCCTATCAGCGAGCATGTCCATAATAAGTGACATGGGTTCCTCCTTGTTTGACATAAGCAACCGGAAAAGATTTCATGCAGAGGGCGTAAACTCACCACATCAACGCCCATATTAATATTTGGCGTGCGCAGGATATCAAGCCGCAGATGGCGAAGATTGGGGTGGATGCGCACGATGTCCTGCATGCTGTCGGGGGTAGGATGATAAGGGGAGAGCATAAGATCGTGTACCGCGCGGCTGGACGCAGAACAGTCATCCAATGCTTTGCAGATAACATTGTTGTCGTAGACACCAAACGGATTGCCGAGACTGGCTTGAGGGTCGGTCCTGTGATTCATCCTCAAACAAACAGCGTTGACGGGCCGCCCAGGAAGTAGAACTGGGACAAGAGTCGGAAAACCGTCGTAAGCCATGAGGTTAGGAATAACAGATTGTAAAACGGGCTTGCTGGGCTTGGCCATGGTCGAGAAATTCGAAATAGTGAGCGATGTGAGGGAAGGCGTTCTATCCAAAAAAGCAAACAGCGTATTTATGTGGGCTTCTGGAACCACCACAGAAAGATGCTTCAGTTTCTCGAACTGCCCCAACCGACCGATTTCAAGGAGAAAAGAGTCCGAAAATGTGAGGTCGAGTAGTGTGAGCCTTTCTAAATGTTGAATATTGAACAGCGAGGAAATAAGCCGTGAGGTGGGAGGTGGGACGAGTGGTGGATCGCGATGTGCTTCATATATGATTGATACGACTTTAAGCTTCATGGAATTTCCAGTGAATGAAAGATCGCAGCGTTCCATGTTGAGGCATTCCAGCTGAGGGATTTTTGTGAGCGCAGACCAGCGCTCTTCTCCCATGTAAATATCTGAAATATTCAGCACACGAAGGTTTCTGCACGAGGGCAAAACGAGGAAAATGGAGGTGGATGGTTGTACGAAGGGGAAGGAGGTTTTGTCGTATTGCATGATCTCGGTTTCCTCTAATGGAGCAGGCGAACCATATGTCTTGATGCTCCATGTCTCCACTAGTCCGAGTACTTCCCAGGCATCACTGTCACTTTGAAGCGCATGAAGACGACCAAGTAGTCGATGTGCTCGTCTAATTCGTGCGGCATCTTCGTTTCGAGGCTGGAATATGTGCCGGACGGTGTGCTTGTACGGGATTGTAGTGGTGATGTGTTTGAACAGTAAGTCTTTGCAGATAAAACGAAATGACCGACAAGTGGATGAGACGTTAAGGAGATCTTGAAACGCCAGAAAACTCCAGCAATGGTGCCAAAGTTCGGGGGGAAGCGTATACTTTGGTTTCTGCAAAGATCCAAAGAGTTGACCCATTATGCACTAGTAGCATATTCTCTTAGGGCGTCGAAGGCTGAAGTAATATGTATTACGTAATAAAAGCGTCATACCAGCGCGCCAAATAGGGTCGTTGAACTCACCTCTCAACGTTGGTACAAACCTCCTTCTGTAAAATGGAGAACCCACAACGCGATTTTCCAGACGTGTTGACAACTCTCACTACCTCCCGTAACCCTGATGATTTGCGTGCGGCTGTGAACAAATTCTACACGCACAACGCCTCTTTGCAACACCCTTTCAGGATCGTAGAGCATGGAGCAAACTCAAGCCAAAAAATCTTGGGCATGTACGAGTGGTATCGCATAATTAGCCCCGATACTACCAGTAATGTGAATTCAGTGTGTTAGTTTACTCAATTTTTTTTGGTTGTTCAAAGCTGACTATATGCGCGTCTAGGTTACGACAAGAAATCCCATGTTCTTGTCGCTGAGGTAACTCAGCACTTTCATGTGCGAATTAGCCCCTTTAAGGCAGTCCCTTTTCGGTGAGTGTATGCGCGCTATTCGTGTCCAGTCGCGATGTTGACGTGAACGTGAATCGCGCATCTGTCAGCTACATTATCCGCATCAAGCTCCAGGAGCGAAATAAGTTATTCTATATCTATGCCCAAGAAGAATTCATGCACCCCACGGTTGGTCTATTGTCGATTATATGCTTTTAGATTCCGCCCTGATCATTGATATTAGGACTTGATGAATTCAGTTCTGCCGCCTCTTACTCCGCTGGTCCGGCTCACACTTGTCTTTTTCACGTTTATCGGTGTCATGTCCTCGAAGGTGTGGGTCTTCAGCCTGCTCCTGTGGGCGAAGCTCTTCGGCATAGGTAGCGACATTCAGAGAGGCCAAGTGAAATCGGGCTCGACGAGGTCGGTGCAACCTGAAGCCCGGGAGACGGTAGATGGGGTGTTGAAGACTACGCAATACGGACAGTCCAAAGGTAACGGAAACAATTGAATTCTGGCCCACTTCAGCTTTGGCTTCTCCAGTTCATCGATTCATCATCATTCGCAGCTGTACTTTATGCACTAGCAGGATCAGGACACTGTACTTTTATCACCAATACTTAGAAGCTGTATTTTCCGACGCAGTCATGGTTGTCGCTTTTGTACTATGTTAGGATGTCGCATTATACCTTCTGTAGAAGTTTCAAATTTCATCATTGGCTCCTGGTGCGTTCTCAATCTATATATTGGCACGTTTCAAAGTCAACCAGTTGATGGCCCTACAAGTTGCGGCGCTTCTATTTCTGACATATGGATGCCATGAAGACTTGCGGTCTGACCTATCTTTGTTATCACCTCCCCACCTGTTGACCTTTGCGCTCCATTACCAGTACTGTGTTTCATCCATGGGTTTGGTGCGCTTCCAAACCCTTGTATACGTGATCCCTATGTTTCAAAGATATGAAACTTTGCCTCATCATATGTTATGAATCCTTACTCTGAAAGCTGATCAAATCATGACCGAAAACAAATGATCGTCATAATTATAGCGGGTATCGCAAAAAACTACCCCATAATTTGCCAGTAAAATAGTACCGGAATACAATAATTATATCTCGCTATCGTCATATCTCGTTTCATCATCCATCACGTTACACATCGCGTCCCCCGCTGCAGCAGGTGAGCAGGGTGGGGTGGCGCCCATCAATACCTTTACAAAGCGGGTGCAGGTGTGAAGGCGGGGGCTGGGAGATCCCTACGCTTAGCTGCGGCGGCGGCTGTAGAGGTGCAAGATCCATCGTTAACCCAGACACCTGCGGATCCTGTTGTGGGACTGTTAAGTTTTTTTGCCTGGAAAAAATAAGTTCAAATCACCTCCAGGGGTGTCATTCTCCGACCAATAGCTTGCGGTCCACAAGTACCCACTAAGTGATGAGTTAGTAGATTGACAAGAGCAAATCATAAGATACGCACTCGTAGGTCACTTCAGAACCTCCGGTATACTGGATAAGGTTCAGTGTCGAACGGAAGAAAAAATAGAAATGTACTCACGGCCACACCAGTGGTCCATGCAGCAACACCTGCGCAAGTACCAGTGCCCGTCGGGGTCGGGGTTGTCGCAGTGGTGCTTGTTGGTGTCGCAGTGGTGCTCGTTGGTGTCGCAGTGGTGGATGGCATAGGCCAAGTGTTCCCGCGCACAGTCGCGATCCACGAGGAACTGGCGTAAGGATACTAATATCGACATCCTCAGAAACCTTGCGAATCACTTGGATTCTCACGTACCTCCCAAACCATGACACCGGCATCTAGAATTCCCCGCGATGATCAGAGAGAGAGGATTAACCAAACAAGACAGACTTACCCCATCCAGCAGCATATGCCGAGGAAACACAGGATGCTAAGAGAGACGGGTCCATGTACCCGTTGGAGGCTTGTGCTGAAGTAGCTGGCTTGCCAATCACAAGCTTGTCCAGAGGAACACCGCTATCAGCGATTTGAAAGAGTGCGGATTCTGGCCAAGTAGTAGAGGAGTTGTACAGGAGGCCATCGCAAGTTGTATACTCCGTTGTGCCCTCTGTATGTTGTTACGAGAGACGAAGGGAACGCATCAAAAAAAAATACATACGGTTGTAAAACTGAGGTGACGGAAAATCAGAACAAGAAATTAAAAATGATAGGACGTCGGCCGCACCTGCACATTGTACCAATCAATCATATCGCCAACCATAGAGTTTACCCAGAGATATCCTCCACCACCCCACTTATCGGGAGAAAACCTTTTGGTTTCAGTCAGTCAGCATCTGATTGGACGCTAATACTATATATTCACCAAGGTGCAACAGCTGTGCGAATAAGTTTAGCGTGATAATGATGTTTTCTGAATATATCACTCACGAGCATGAGTCAATATATATTGACCCTGCGGAAGCTGAGCGCGAAGCTGGGTGGTGAAGTTGCCGAGCCATTGCTCAGCAGAGCCAGTGCCACCATTGAATGCAGCGAAATCCTGAGGAAAGTCAGGTTTCGCCAAGCATCATCAGACATCATCCAACATGCCTCATAGTCGATGTCTACACCCTGGAGACCATATTCGATCACCCAAGCTGCCATGGTATTCGCAGTATCGATGGGGTCGTATCCCGATGAAGTGGGGGTCTCAGTGGACCCAAAAAGGGACACGATGAGTGAGATACCTGCGGCCTCGTACTCAGAGAGAATAGAAGAACGTTGAGCTGCTGTAAGCTCTTCCCATTCCTGAGCTTGATCTGCAGCGCCGTATTCCAAGAGGAAAGACAATGCAAACACATTGAAGCCCTGATTTTTGAACCAGTTCAAGATTATGGTATCAACCGCGAATAGAGAAAAAAAAGCTTACCGAAATCTCTGACGCCGTCGGTTCAGTGGAAACGTACGCGTCACTGTATAAAACGAAATAGGGGGCTACTGGGGTAGCACGCTTCAAAACATTCCTTGCTTTCGGAGTCAGGCCTCTCAGCACCTCCTCAAGAGGCGCAGATGCGACCTCTCTGAAGCACGCGAATGCTGCTAAGGCAGCTGTCAGGGCAAGGTAGAGATGCAACATGAGGTCTGAGATGGAAGGTGAATGAGGGTTTCAATTTGTGCGGTGAAGTAGCTACCTAATCCAACATAATCCGCCGCGATTTATACGTGCAGACAAGAATGCAAAAGTCCCAACCAGAATCAAAATTTCGAGATGCCCCGAGTGCGCGTGATTAGTTATCTCGTGAGTGTGACGGAAATAGTGGGTCGTCAGCTTCTGACGGCAAGGATAACATACGTGGTTCCTGTAAGGTCAGAGAGCCGAATCGTCAGAATAGAACCTCGAGAGTTTGTCAGAGCCCCCTGAAGGGACATGAGGTACCGCAAGGGCATGACGCAGAATGAACGATCACATACAGGATACCGGATAGGTAGGTATCTCCTAGAAGTGGCAAGGGTGAGTGTACTCATGAAGTACTGGCCTCGATCGAGGCACCCAGATCCGCATGGGCAGTGACCGCTAGAACTCGAATACATCAAGTGAACACGAGTGGAACTCACGCTGCTGGGCATAATCTACCCCGATGCCCTAATTAGTATACCCAGACGTCCGAACGGTGGGTGTGTCACTGGAAAGGTATCAGAGGGAGGAGGAGAAGTTAAAAATGAGGACGTATCGCATGCGCCCCACCATATTTAGGATTCTGAGCCCCTACTAAGCCGACAGTAAAGATATCAGTTCATTGCAACTGGATGGTCCTACTATGGATGGAAAGCCGGGAACAGCGGGTAGGTGTCTTCGTAAATATACCTCCTACAAGCTCACATGCGTGGCCGGAACTAGGCATGGGTACCCGAACCCCTTTTTTCCACTCAGACAAGGTTCACGCACGACGGATGGTCCGCAGTTGTTCCAGACGCCTCTGCGATGGTGACGGTGCTCTGAAGACTATCAAGCATGCAATCGAGAGCAAGCTCAATATAATACTGGAGCTGCAGAGGAATTGATCACGCTGTTCAATTTGCGGCAGACTTGGAAATTAGTCAAGTTTAAGGTCACAACAAAAGAGTGGTAGGGCATACGTACAGAGGAACACCGCAAGATAGATCGACCGTCTACATCACTACCAGTAACTCAGAGGGCAGGAGGATGAAAGTAGGTGTTTCTGAGTCTACTTTTGTTGTGGGCAGGCTGTCCAGGGCCGCTTTGGTCGGCCTTGTATCGAGCTTCGGTGCGATCATGGTAGCTCCTGCTGTGGGCGCTTAATTGTGACCATATCCTAAAATAACCTTGAGGCGCAATACCGGCTCCAAGCTCAAGCGGTCAGTTGCAAGTCTGGAACGGTACGGTCATTTACCTGGTCTTGTGATTAATCGATACTAGAAGGAGACGGCGGCCCATCTAGTATGTCTTCAATATCGCGATCCAGATAAGATTCGCACCATGCTGTCGTTTTGTGACCTGCTGCATAACTAAATCCGTCAGGTTGCGCGATTACACTGAAGCCTGCGAGTCATATATAACCAGTGAGTGCCTTGAATTTGCGTCAATGGCTGAAGGAATAGAAAATAGAAGTGTTGCCAAGCGTTGTTCCATATTGGTGACGCAGATTGACCTGCTGGATAGGCCACGGTAAATCTGGAAAGGCATACTACAAGCTGTCAAATAATTACCCGTGATGATTTTACAGCCTGCATCCATCATACTCTTGTGGAAGGTGACGATTTGGTGAGTGTTGACTTCGACATGATCAACCGTGTCGAAGGAAAAACTCATCAAAGAGCATAAAAAGAGTCCTGCAGTGGACCATGCCTCTGGATCAGGAGCATGAAGTGATGTTCTAGGTAGCAAGAAGGGCGAGGCCGTTGAAGTGTTCTCGGATAAGGCCGTAGTGCAGACCAAAATGATAATGTGGGAAACCACGTCATCGCGGTCTGATGGCGTAGTTGGTTATCGCATCTGTCTAACACACAGAAGGTCTCCTGTTCGAGCCAGGGTCAGATCATCATTTTTGCTCTTTTTCCTCTTCAAGCTGTTCGATGACATGTCTGTCCTTTTAGAAGGGGGACGTTCAAATGTATTCTAAACTTGGTCCTTTGCCAAGCTGTGCAGCCTGGTTCCCGCACACGTTATTTTATTCCTGTCTCACTGCCAGACTCCCATTGCGCCAGAGGTCAATGCTCGGAGGACTCGGAATTATCAACTCGGAGGTGCACCGTGCATTGTTTCGTTGACGACACCAACCCCGGTGCTACTGATTTCCCTACTAGTCATTATAGAAAATCTTGGACGACTGAACATAGTCGTTCCTTCTCTATGATTCTCATAGTTTCCTTGCGGTTGTCGACAACGTGCCCAGATGGTTCTCACGCAGATTAGCTATAGCGCTCGTTGGATCATTCCCCGATTATCATACCTCGCTGACAGGCTTGCGGCGCTTCTATTTCTGACGTATGGGTGCCATGAAGACTTGCGGTCTGACCTATCTTTGTTATCACCTCCACACCTGTTGACCTTTGCGCTCCATTACTAGTACTGTGTTTCATCCATGGGTTTGGTGCGCTTCCAAACCCTTGTAACCCTATTTCCTGCCATAGCGCCCGTCCAACATTCTTCCTCTGACAGATTCCCATGGGGGCGTATTAGTAGCACCATCACGCAAGGACCGTCCTCCCATAAGGTTTGCTCATTAAACGTCTATGAGGCCCTCAGACTATTGCTGATCAGTTATTTTGATGTCGTCATAGTGATATGTGTAAACACTGAGCGAGCATGTGTACACGATAGCCTGCGTCGGCGGCGCTGCGTAATTCGAACGTGAAGCTTTTTGAAATCAGCACACCACTGAGTGTTGCGTCGTTAAGGAAAAGGAATGATGCTCCATGACTTCATGCTGATAATATTAGAATTTTGGACGCTCCAATAGCAGGCTCGATTTTACATCAGAACTGAGAAATAGCTACTCGTACATATGACATGGCTACGTGATTTCTACATATGCTTCAAAGATATGAAACTTTGTGTGATTGCTTCATCATATGTTATGAATCCTTATTCTGAAAGCTGATCAGATCATGACCGAAAACAAATGATCGTCATAATTATAGCGGGTATCGCAAAAAACTACCCCATAATTTGCCAGTAAAATAGTACCGGAATACAATAATTATATCTCGCTATCGTCATATCTCGTTTCATCATCCATCACGTTACACATCGCGTCCCCCGCTGCAGCAGGTGAGCAGGGTGGGGTGGCGCCCATCAATACCTTTACAAAGCGGGTGCAGGTGTGAAGGCGGGGGCTGGGAGATCCCTACGCTTAGCCGCGGCGGTGGCTGCAGAGGTGCAGGCTCCATCGTTAACCCAGACACCCGCAGATCCTGTTGTGGGACTGTTAAGTTTTTTTTGTCTGGAAAAAATGAGTTCAAATCACCTCCAGGGGTGTCATTCTCCGACCAATAGCTTGCGGTCCACAGGTATCCTCTAAGTTATGGGTTTAGTAGATGAACAAGAGCAAATAATAGGATACGCACTCGTAGGTCACTTCAGAACCTCCGGTATACTGTATAAGGTTCAGTGTTGATCGGAAGGAAAAATAGAAATGTACTCACGGCCACACCAGTGGTCCATGCAGCAACACCTGCGCAAGTACTGGTACCTGTTGATGTCGTCGTCGTGCTAGTGCTTGTTGGTGTAGTACTAGTGCTCGTCGGTGTGGTACTGGTGCTCGTCGGTGTGATACTGGTGCTCATCGGTGTAGTAGTGTCCGTAGAGGTGCAAGCTCCGTCGTTAACCCAGACACCCGCGGAACCTGTTGTGAGACTGTCAATTTATTTCTGGAAAAACCGAGTTCAAATCACCTCCAGGGGTGTCATCCTCTGTCCACCAGCTTGCGGTCCACAAGTACCCACTAAGTGATGAGTTAGTATATGGACGAGAGTAAATCAGAATATACGCACCCGTAGGTCACTTCAGAACCTCCGGTATACTGTAAAGGTTCAGTGTCGAATGGGGGAAGAAATAGGAATATACTCACGGCCACAGTAGCGGTCCATGCAGCAACACCTGCGCAAGTACCAGTGCCCGTCGGGGTCGGGGTCGTCGCTGTGGTACTAGTGCTTGTTGGTATCGCAGTGCTCGTTGGCGTCGCAGTGGTGGATGGCATAGGCCAGGTGTTCCCACGCACAGTCGCGATCCACGAGGAACTGGCGTAAGGATACTAATATCGACATCCTCAGAAACCTTGCGAATCACTTGGATTCTCACGTACCTCCCAAACCATGACACCGGCATCTAGAATTCCCCGTGATGATCAGAGAGAGAAAACTAACCAAACGAGACAGACTTACCCCATCCAGCAGCATATGCCGAGGAAACACAGGATGCTAAGAGAGATGGGTCCACGTACCCGTTGGAGGCTTGTGCTGAAGTAGCTGGCTTGCCAATCACAAGCTTGTCCAGAGGAACACCGCTATCAGCGATTTGAAAGAGTGCGGATTCTGGCCAAATAGTAGAGGAGTTGTACAGGAGGCCATCACAAGTTGTATACTCCGTTGTGCCCTCTGTTTGTCGTTACTAGAGACGAAGGGAACGCATCAAAAAAAATACATACGGTTGTAAAACTGAGGTGACGGAAAATCAGAACAAGAAATTAAAAATGATAGGACGTCGGCCGCACCTGCACATTGTACCAATCAATCATATCGCCAACCATAGAGTTTACCCAGAGATATCCTCCACCACCCCACTTATCGGGAGAAAACCTTTTGGTTTCAGTCAGTCAGCATCTGATTGGACGCTAATACTATATATTTACCAAGGTGCAACAGCTGTGCGAATAAGTTTAGCGTGATAATGATGTTTTCTGAATGTAGCACTCACGAGCATGAGTCAATATATATTGACCCTGCGGAAGCTGAGTGCGGAGCTGGGTGGTGAAGTTGCCGAGCCATTGCTCAGCAGAGCCAGTGCCACCATTGAATGCAGCGAAATCCTGAGGAAAGTCAGGTTTCGCCAAGCATCATCAGACATCATCCAACATGCCTCATAGTCGATGTCTACACCCTGGAGACCATATTCGATCACCCAAGCTGCCATGGTATTCGCAGTATCGATGGGGTCGTATCCCGATGAAGTGGGGGTCTCAGTGGACCCAAAAAGGGACACGATGAGTGAGATACCTGCGGCCTCGTACTCAGAGAGAATAGAAGAACGTTGAGCTGCTGTAAGCTCTTCCCATTCCTGAGCTTGATCTGCAGCGCCGTATTCCAAGAGGAAAGACAATGCAAACACATTGAAGCCCTGATTTTTGAACCAGTTCAAGATTATGGTATCAACCGCGAATAGAGAAAAAAAGCTTACCGAAATCTCTGACGCAGTCGGTTCGCTGGAAACGTACGCGTCACTGTATAAAACGAAATAGGGGGCTACTGGGGTAGCACGCTTCAAAACATTCCTTGCTTTCGGAGTCAGGCCTCTCAGCACCTCCTCAAGAGGCGCAGATGCGACCTCTCTGAAGCACGCGAATGCTGCTAAGGCAGCTGTCAGGGCAAGGTAGAGATGCAACATGAGGTCTGAGATGGAAGGTGAATGAGGGTTTCAATTTGTGTGGTGAAGTAGTTACTTAATCCAACATCATCCGCCGCGATTTATACGTGCAGACAAGAATACAAAAGTCCCAACCAGAATCAAAATTTCGATATGCCCCGAGTGCGCGTGATTAGTTATCTCGTGAGTGTGACGGAAACAGTGGGTCGTCAGCTTCTGACGGCAAGGATAACATCCGCGGTTCCTGTAGGGTCAGAGAGCCGAATCGTCAGAATAGAACCTCGAGAGCTTGTCAGAGCCCCCTGACGGGACATGAGGTACCGCAAGGGCATGACGCAGAATGAACGATCACATACAGGATACCGGATAGGTAGGTATCTCCTAGGAGTGGCAAAGGTGATGGTACTCGTGAAGTACTGGCCTCGATCGAGGCACCCAGATCCTCATGGGCAGTGACCGCTAGAACTTTTCAGCATCCGGATACATCAAGTGAACACGAGTGGAACTCACGCTGCTGGGCATAATCTACCCCGATACCCTAATTAGTATGCCCAGACTTCCGAACGGTGGATGTGTCACTGGAAAGGTATCAGAGGGAGGGGGAGAAGTTAAAAATGAGGACGTATCGCATGCGCCCCACCATATTTAGGAATCTGAGCCCCTACTAAGCCGACAGTAAAGATATCAGTTCATTGCAACTGGATGGTCCTACTATGGATGGAAAGCCAGGAACAGCGAGTCAGCGACCTGCGGCAAGTGCTATATACTGAACGTGTCACTGTAGTAAGTAAAGAAATGATTACAAGTGCTTCTTCCAAATGGTTGAACTATTTGGAGGGACCGGGAATCATATACATATCTGTTAGCAAGAGACTATATTCAAGTCAATCAATGATTTGTACCGTCGATGATTTCCTCAGTAAACGGTTCTCACGCTGCGATTCGAGACTCCCGCTTTACCCTTGAGAGCCAAATTCAATCCTTCAGTTGTTGACAACATACGGGAGGTGCTTGGGGAATCGGGATGTCCCATAAACGCAAGTACCGCAAGGTTGCACCATCGGCTATCCCCGTGGCTACACCAGATCCTTTCACTTTGTCTATTCAAGCGTACGAGGCCACTATCATCCGCGGCCCGCAATCTCTTTCAACAGCACTTTCTCTTGAGGCGCCGCATCTTCCAACTTTGGGGGTCTATGCAAACGATCCTCAAATCGGTAACGCTCTCATACAATGGGGTGCTAGCGCAAGAAATTTTCAACTTCTTAACTCGGATTTTTCTTTCCCCGAAGCGTCGGATGGCAAGGCTACTTGGGTGGACAGGTGGGTCTCCCTAGTAGTATGTTCATTGCTAAGTTGTGGCGAGTCGTCCCAAAAAAAAAAAAAACAAAGTGGCAATTATATACTCTGCGAATGCAATGTCTATCTGAGCAGATCCGTCGGATCTATGCTCTCTGCTTCACATTGGAAGATATGGTCTCATCGTTATCCTCTGTTCCACGCAGTCTAATACAAAACTCGCTTAGATACGACGCTCGTCTTCTCCTCGATACCGTCCGAGAGCATCCAATTCTGAGTACCATCCAGCCAAAGTCTCTGTCGCCAACCGGATGGTCAGACTTGCCATCTGACACTGAAGATACCTTTTTCCTCACACCACATGAAAACGAAGACTACCGGCGCGAGAAACGCAGGCGTCTCATTGACCAAAACAGAGAGGACCGTCTGAGAGCTCTTGCCGAAACCGATGAAAGCGAACAGTTGGATCTTTGGGGAGGTAGTGATGAGGAGGTAAGAGGCTTTCCACTAGTACTGGTAGTAAGGATAACATATTGGACGATAATTTCTGTGCTAGCCTGATGATGCCCAATCAGAGCTCATGAAAAGAACAGCGCTACACCTTCTCTCGTCTCCTAATCCTGCACAACTGGAAATGCGCATTCTCGCAAACCACGGTGCAGATAAGAGATTTGCATTCTTGAGGGGACGGTGGTCACGCGCCTGGCGCATGACCAAGGAGAGGCTCAGGCAAGAAAAAGTTGACCAATCAGCTCAATCGTTGCGCGCTTCACGCAACATACTAGTGGGTCTCGGAGGACTCGCTGCGTATGGAGATAGTGATGACGAAGGTGGCGAAGAAGAGTCTGAAAGTGGGGAAACATATTCATTAAAGGTCGGTGAGAGTCCTGCTACGGCCCTGGATTCGCCTCAGAACCATAATGTGCGGTTGGAGGAGGTTGAACAGGAAGCTCGGCGCGTTAGAGCTAGGGAGTGGGCTGCACAACGCCGTGCACAACAAGGACAAACTTTGAGTACTGATGAATATCAGGCGGATTCCTCAGATTCATAATGACTGCCGGTGACTATTGTTTTACTTCTCAGATATAATGTTCCTTAAATCTGATCTGAAATGCGATGCGTTACGCTCTTTTTGAAATAGTCCCCAAGGAAAATGCCGTTTCTTGACAACGGGCGAGGCGCTCACTCGAACAAAAGTCAATGATCCGACCTCATGTTCAGTACTCTCATGATGGTCCCCTTCGAATTCAACCATTCAGTTGACGTCTACTGGTTTCCTGCACTAGTCAAACATTCCACTTAGACTGGACTTTGGGTGGCGATACAGATATTACGTTTGAACACTTCTCAGCTATCCTAAAACAATTCTTCTAGTCGCCGTCAACTTCGGAAGTTTGACTTGGGCGCAGCCGTCAACCTAAATTGCCCTATCACCCCTGCAGGAAGCCGCAGCGAGCTCCTCCCGTCTGAGTATAAAATATTGTATGTCCTGCTCATCTGTTCTAAACCACGTCCCCGCTGATCGACCTTGTTGTAAGTTTTCCCAATCTTTGCTAAGTAGTGCTCTTCATCTTCTGACGACGGATCCTGAACACAATAGCATCATCACATCAATATTAACCATGTCCCAGTCCCCTTTGATAGCGCAACCGAAGTATGCAAGTCTTTTTTTGCCAAGGCCTAAGATGCGAACTTATCGTCGTTACCCCCCATAGGGAATTAAAGCATGTCGGCATTGTGGGTGCTGGTATGGCTGGCTTGTATGCTGCATATCGGTTGAAATTGTCGAACGATCCCCGCATCGCAGTCTCTCTGTACGAACTGGATGGGAGGGTCGGTGGACGTGTCAAAACCTACCACTTTACATCTGAGAAGGACCAATACTTTGAGGCTGGTGCCATGCGTATTCCAAGCACCCAGATGCATCAGCCAACCTTCGACTTGATTAAACTTCTCAAAGACACCTATCATGCCGATCTTAACCTTATACCTTATCATCTCACCACCCCCGGCAATCGCATCTTCATAAATGGTATTTTGAAGAACGGTGGCGATGATAACACTGCCAAGGCTCTGGGATTCGACCTCCCGGTACCGTATAATGACAAGACTGCAGACGCCCTGCTACTGAGCGCTATACAAGCGTTCATTGATTTGTTGGAGAGAGACTTCGACCAGGGCTGGGAGCTTCTCATGCATCTTGACAAAGTCCCATTCCGTTCCTACCTGGAATCTCTTGAATGGCCGCAATCAGTCATTGATTTCACCGAGACTATGTGCTCTCAGACCAACCAGTTCGCGCTAAGCTTCTCCGAACTCATCATGCAGAACCTCGACTTCGACACTAAACAGTGGTTCACACTGGAAGAGGGAATGGACAGACTCCCTCAGGCACTTGCCAGGGTGGTTGGCATGGATAATATTACCTTTGGTGCGCGAGTGCAGAAGATTGAGCAGACTGGTGATGGTGTCGCTATCTACGCAGATACGCCTAGGGGCCGGATAGAGAAAACCTTTGACAAGGTGATCCTTGCTATTCCGCCTAGTGCGTTGAGGATGATACCAGAGCGTCCTCGCTGGGATTACAGAAAGGAGCAAGCTATCCGCGCTATGTTCTACGAGGCGTTATATAAGATCGGTCTGCGCTTCAAGACTCGATTCTGGGAGCATGTGCAACCCCCTTCTCTAGGGGGACAATCAACGACCGATCTGCCCATTCGGTGGATTGTATATCCATCCAATGGCATCAATTCTGAGGGACCTGGCGTCCTGCTTTTATATTCCTGGAACACAGACGCCTCTGTGTGGTCCTCCATTCCTTTCAATGAACGTCTTAAGAGCTCTCTATGTCACCTTTCAAAGGTTTTCCCGAATGTTGACATCTACGACCAATTCATCGCGGCAGAAGATTTAGCCTGGTCCGAGCACAACCCTACCGGCGACGCCATGTTCCTTCCCGGGCAATTTTCAGAATACTTCGACATTGCTCGTCGTAAGGAAGGTAACATCTACTTTGCGGGAGAGCATTTGAGTCGTCATCATACGTGGATTACTGGAGCCATCGATTCTGCCAGATCAACTGCAGAAGAGGTCATCAGTGACTTTGCCTTCAAACGCGTTCCTACAGGGTGGATTCCCCCAACTGGAACAGAACCTAGTAAGCATTATGATCCTGAGGCTCACCGCAAGGAGGTGATCAAGGGTGGGCTGGAAAATATCAAGAACAACCGCGAGGAGTTCGAGAAGTCTGTCTTACTAAACGCTGTAAACGACAATTAGCATTGATGATCATATATCCACGCACATGTATTATCTATTATTAGTCATCTTCTGCAACCCATCAAACAAGGATGCTCGACGAGACTGTATTCCGCTGGAGGAACGTTCTACCTTATGCCGGTCCTCGGGACTCGGCTACCTAAGTACCAGTGGAAAATGATGGACACGTCCGCCGCCACGTGGTCATGAAATAAAGACGTGTCACGTGATACGATAAAACAGAATGTTCCTAGTAGACGATTCTCCCTAACTTACGTGTTGCACATCATGGACTTGTTGCACTCTCAGCTTGCAGCACTCCAGCAAAAGTTGTCTTTTGTCGCAACTGACCCAATAGACTGGAAGTTTTACGTTCAAGCTTTCTCATGGGGTGTTACGCTGTTCGAGTCTTACCTTCTGTCAGTGTACTGCTCTGTTGAATACTCTTTCCTAACTAACTCTTTTTTTTTTGCTCACAGGCTTCGCCAGTATCCTCTATACTCGAAAACTTCTCCTCCAGAGGTTTTAGCAGGCCACTTTGATGCTGAGGCTTTCACAAAGTCCCAGAATTACGGCAAAGACAAAGCAAAATTCTCCTTGGTCACTGGATTGTTCAAGCAAGCTCTTGATTCTGTCATGCTTCATTATGGATTATATCCATTTGCATGGGATATGGCTGGGCGGATGACAGCTTACTTCGGATATGGTAGCGAGTATGAGGTTCGGTGGCTCCCCTACAATCAATTCCAACCTCAAAACTGACTGAATATAATAGATCTCGCAATCACTTGCGTTTGCTATCGTGCTTTTTGTTATCTCATCCATACCTTCGATACCTCTCTCTGCTTACCAAACATTTGTTTTGGAAGAGAAGCACGGTTTTAACAAGACTACGCCTGCGTTATTCGTCACAGATCTCTTGAAAAGCTGGGCGATTGGCTTTGTCATCGGCATGCCGTTTCTCGCCGCTTTCCTTTACGTCTTTGGGTGGGCTGGAGACCGCTTCGTCCCATGGCTCATGGCTTTTCTGTTCGGTATTTTCCTCTCAGCGAGTAGGGCTGTGCTGATATGCCTTTTCCAGTCTGGCTTTCCAGATCATAATGGTTATCATATATCCGACTGTGATTCAACCACTCTTCAACAAGCTTTCGCCCCTCAAAGAGGGCGAGCTACGCACAAGAACCGAATCACTCGCCACGAAGCTAAATTTCCCCTTGAAGCATCTGTATGAGATTGACGGTTCCAAGCGTAGCTCCCATAGCAACGCTTACTTCTTTGGATTGCCCTGGGTCAGTATACCTCACCTGCTGTGACCATCCCCGCTGATCAGCGTTCAGAGCAAACACATCGTCATATTCGACACCCTGATCAAAGAAAGCAAGCCTGATGAAGTCGAGGCAGTTCTAGGTATGCCCGCGTTTTCTTATCTGGTCTGTCTATTGAATGTTTTTAATCAGCGCATGAACTGGGCCACTGGTACCACATGCACCCAACGAAGTTGCTCTGTGTATCTCAAGTTCATATCTTCACCATCCTTGCTATGTTTCCCGCCTTCCTGCACGCACCCCAGTTCCTGCGGGCATTCGACTTTTCCACGGCTATCTCTGCCCACCCACCCACCATCGTTGCATTCTTGCTATTCCAGGTGCGTAATTACGTGGTCTTCTCATCCATATGACGCTGACTCTGAATGTAGATGATTCTTAGCCCCCTAGAGGCGGTTATTGGCATTGGGCTGAATTCCCTTTCGCGTCAGTTTGAGTGGGAAGCGGACCGTTTTGCGTGCGAGATTGAAGAGCGGTTGTCGGTTCCAGAGATGAAGGATATGGGCGAGAGACTTTCACGGGCGTTGATCACGCTTCATGTCAAGAATCTGAGTACCTTATGGGTTGATTGGCTGTGAGTTGAGTCATGATATCTTGGAATCGACGTGCTGATGTGTCATTGATACAGATACTCGGCTTATCATCACTCCCACCCCACATTGACAGAGCGACTCAAGGCTCTTCAGGCATTCCAGTCTAAGAGGGATAGTGCAGCGAAGAAGGAGCTTTAAATGATTTACTTCCGTTGGATTTAGTACGTATAGTATGAGCAGCTCATAAAGTTGTATATTTCATTCTACTCATCACTCATGGAATATTATTGAGAACGAGTAGTATCATTCTCCAACTAAGATTCTGCGCGAAACATAATCTTTTGCATCCTGCCTCCCCTGGTCAACATTAACGCTGAGGAGGACAGGCACTGCTGCCCACACCATGAATACGAGGAAAAAGAATGCGTAGCGGATGTTCCCCGTGGTATCCGCTATCAGGCCGACGATAAGCGGGCCAACGAAAGAGCTTGACTGTATGCAGAGATGTAGTCAGTGAATGCAAAGCAAATTTGAAACGGTCTGCCCACCTTGTCTGTTATCGAGAAGAGACCGTACCTGGAGCAATGCGTCAATATCCTACGTGCCATACCTGCGAAAGACACATACCATCGAGCTTCTTCCCCAGGAGGTAATAACTCCGCATATAGAGCTCTAGCATAGCTTTGAAACGCGCCATACGCAAAACCTGTGATAGTGATGTCAGTCAGTCAATGCTCGCGATCGAGGCATAGGGCACGGACCAAAATACACTGCAAGGCCAAACATTTCTCCTTGTGTCGTCAGTCCACCAAATCGCGCAGTTCCTTTGAAGACAGGCAGGAATCCTAAGCATCCATATGCCGGAATCAACGAGACCATCATCACGAGAAGAACTAGGACGTGAAGATTTGACCACATGAATTTACGTTGGAGGATGGGGGACACTAGAGAGCCAATGATTCCTGAGAGTGGTGTGATAGCACCGATGAGGACGAGAGACGATGCTTGCATATGCAGAGTTGTTTTCCCAAACAGGATCGCTGTCGATGTTATAGTAGTGAAACCTGTTTTGAGAAGTCAAATTAACAGAAGTAGTTGATTTGTGGAATAACAAACCATCAGATAGAAGGAACCAAGCAGCAAGGTATCTGAATGTATTTTGAAGACGCTTTATCTCCCGCCAGCGAAGCATAACTCCCAATCGTTTCCATGCAACCGCAATCTCCGAACTGAAGGTCCAATCGTCATCTGGCTTGATAGAACTGGATTCTGGTTCATCGACGTTGCTTGCATTTGGGAGCCAGATAGCAGCAGGTATCGAGAACAATGCCCACCATATGCCGCTGAGACCAATGGCGAGACGTAGTGAGAAAGTAGAACCATCCAGGCGAGTGACAGGTATGAGGGCAACCAAGAGAAGAATAATACCTGCACCGTAACCTGAAGCAATTCCTAAGGATGATATTCGCGAGGTGGCTCTCGATAATGCGGCAGTATAGGTCGATTGAGAAGTGCTTGGATGGATTGGACGACCAAGAAGAGGATCTGACACTTCTTCGAAAGAGGGCTCTAAGTCAAGATCAATGCTTGCCGTAAGAGCAGAATTCTCATCCCGGTTTTCAAGCGAGCTTGTCATTTCGGAGTAAGCTTGAACTACTTCTGGGGAATCTTTCGCCAACGATGGCAGGTACGCGTTCATAGCTACTACGGAGGCACCAAATCCAACGTTGGCCAAAATTGCAAACAGCGCAGAAACCATCCATAACGGAGATGTCGATGATAGAGGGAGAAAAAGGCTCGCGGAGAAAGCGCCTATTGCAGCGAAAGTGAGGAGAAGGGGTTTTCTGTATGACGCTGCCACGAGTAATGAAGACTAGATCCAGAACGAAACTGTGGAACATACAGCGGTCGGCTATGCTCCCCATTGAAATCACCGTGAGTGCTTGCAAAGCGACAGACATAGAGTAGACATAGAGGCTGAGTATGTTATTACATTCGTACCAGCGCTAGCTAGAATAGAATAGACGCACCTGAAACTGGCGGTATCTATCCACAACCAACCAATTTTCACTGCACATCTGCCATCAACGTTTGCGCGCGAAACACCAGGGAGTGAAGAGCATGATTCAGTCCTCTCTGGTTGCAAGAACCCATTGTCCCGGGCAAATTGCTCAAGACATATTGGTAGGAAGAGTGTGAGGGAAACTACTACAAAAGCCTCGCTTGCTATAACTTGAGTAACTTGTTTGGGAGGAGAGAATGAATACCACACACCTAGCGAACGCATATATGAGCCATCCTCTCAGCTTTTGCTTGTATGTGGCCGGCATTACTGTAACAATCATATTGCGTGAGTCTGGTGCAGACCCCACACACACGTGACTATTACCATTTGCGTCGACCGCCAAGTAACCGCCGCTACGGTGGACTATGTGTATCAGGTTAGTTTTCCAAATGCGATAATCACCCGTTGTACTCCATTGTTTGTGTATTAGTAAATACGGTGGCTGTGGTTTCATTTCCCCACAACACCCACCACCATCGAAGCTCGTCGTCGCCATCAGCGTGCTCGTCGTCACCACTAGTGTGCCTGTCGTCGTGGTGCTGCACTCGGCATTACCTTTTGCCGCCGTGGACTACTTCCCACTCCACGATCATCAAGCTCGTCTATCTTAAAGTAAGTAAAGTCTTTTGCTTTCATCATCAACACTCATCAGCGCTTGTTGTCACCATTAGCCTGCCCGTCGTTGTGGCATCAGCACGTTTACCGCTATTCTCATCATTACCTTCTGTCGCCGTGCACTTTCCGCTCCACATACCCCGAGGGATCATCGAGCATGTCCATCTTAAAGTAAGTAGATAGTCTTTTGCCAACATCATCGACACTCATCAGCGCTTGTCATCGCCATCAGTGTACTCATCACTGCATTCACACTCTTCACCTCGTACTCAATCCTCCATTGTTTCCATTACACTTCTATGTTCTGCACACCCACCTATTTGAGGCTACTGTCTTCATGGTGACAAGTGTACCAACAACATCCTAACAAAGTTATATAGTGAACGAGTGTTGAGCATTGGTTTGTTAACATGATACTATCGAGGTGGTATAGAATTTGTGGTTTTTGGAGGGTGTTTCATAGTATAAACTGTTTTCTGCGCCAATCAGACCCTGTGTGCATCTTATTGTGCTTCAACTGATTGTGATAGGCTTGCTCTAAAGAAATTGTGGCTATGAGTTTGTATTGAGGTCTGTGCCGGAACCATCACCACTATATTGAATTGCTGAAAGTGACGGTGTTTTGAGGCAAGTTTCTTCACATATATCACACGATCTAATGTGGTACAGTAACCTTCTGTCACGAGTACCTTTAACAAACCATTATTCTTTCCTGAATCTTCCTAAGTGCCAATATACAGCGCCTAAGCCAAACCCTAACCCTACCCTGAAAGCATCTATTAGTTCAGAAATTCCCTTAGCATCTACGACATGTGTCTTCGATGTGACTGATGAAGAAGATGAGTTCTTTGATTGTGAATAGATTAGATTAGATATGATAAGATAAGATATGGTCACGTGATGCTTCTTTAATATTCTACGACATTCTATGGTATGATTCCCTTTTCTCTTTTATGATTGGTTAGTAGTTGTATCTCAGTTTCAATCTCAGTTTCAATAGTTGTATATAGGTAGCACAGTCTTGGTTGATAGTTCCTTAGTTCAAACCTCTTGTATCTACACTGTAGCAATCCAAGATGTCCTTGCTCATTATCCTTTTGTTGTGATAACCTTTGTTTGAGTCCTAGTCTCTGCCCAACATTAATTCATTATTGGGTTGTGACACCTTCAAGTTGATCCGTCAGACTCTGTTTTCAGACCATAATACTTGTCTCATCGTGGCCCATGCCTCCGAGTCAGTGCTCAGGATGTTCGCTCGTGTTTCCTCGAATGGACAACTCAATGTGCACGAAGTGCTCAAAGCTCGAAGCTGCAAATGCAGCAGATCAAGAACAGATTATGGTATGTGCTCACCTCGCTATGTGCCTGTTGTTTTAAGTTTATATTCACCAATACCTACTATCCAGCAACAGCTGCAATGTGAAAGCTGCAGCTGTGTATATCCATTCTTGCGCTCGCCATTATGTGGTGGCTGCAAAAACAGCAACAATAATGGTAAGTAAATGTTTGTACTTATTGAGTTGCCTCCGCAAGCTAATGTCAAACTTAGCTTTGAATGAATCATCCGCATCAGCCAGTAATGTCGCTGCCAGTGCCACTGCTCAATCTATTTTGCATCGACAGACTGCGCATACCCACGAGGCCAGTCAGCATCAACTTGGACTAAGCCAACCATTATAAAACTCTTCACTGTTGAATGCGAGTGACATGAAGTGGAAGGTTTCGCTTCTTAAGGCCAATGCTTGGGCAGCAAAGGTCGATGTTGACTTTACACTTCAGCAATATGCCTATGGGAGCTCAAAGCCCACTAAACTTGCCATCCCATCATCACAAGTAACCTTTGCTACTGTGGACCTAGCCAGTAGTGCCTTCAAACAGCTGGCTTTGAAAGCAAGAGGCCTATACGACAACACCCCGACTCTTTCAGGGCTTTCCAATACTGCACTGGATGTTATGTTTGATTGGTAATGTTACTGTAGAGTGTTCAGTGGATGGATATTGATAAACCATGTCATGCAGGCATAGGATCAAGTATTGCATGGTGCTGACCAATGCTACTGTGAATATGATCGAGGAACAGAAGTATCTGGCGGCACCAGCAACCATGGAAACACTTTACAGAAAACTGAGGCAAGACAGGATGTTGTCTGATAAAGATGCATCAGCGAAAACCCCAAGGATCACGCTCTGCATGTTCTTGTATGTCCCTGAAGAGGTAAATAAAATATATGTATACTTCAAAGCAACCATCTGAGAAGAACTATAGCCCGAGGATGATGATGTCCAGGAAGTACAACAAAGTCAGTGTGTATCTACTCGGAAATCAACCACAGCAAGTTCTCATCGTCAGAAGCGAAAAAGATCCCCGACAGGTGAGCAAGGCTGTGATTATTGTCATAGTGATGCTTATAAATCTGAACAGCATCACCTGAACGTCTGCCACCTCCCATGCGCTATCAGAGTTCATACCGATCCAGACAGTCCGCAACTGCACCAATACTCGAATATAAAACCTTTAAGATGAAGCGGGCAACATGCACTGTGAGCAAGACTGCAGATATACAGATGAACTACAGCGAAGAGCAGGAAGAGATTATGATTGCAAAAGGGTGGCAAGCTCATGTTAAAGCTGGGAAGCCTTATCAGGGTTATCTTGGGCAGGGATTGACAAAATTTGTCTTCTGTGTGAGTTCCACATTCTTCGAGTGCTCCTGTCACTAATTAAAAATGCAGGGTCGCTATAACAATAAGGACTGTGCTATTGTCCAATGTAAATCAGTCCGTGCAACAGAAGCCGAAAACATTGTGGATTTAGAGGGTGAATACCAGACTCTTCATCTCTCTCAGTACTTTTTGGACTCTTTCTATGAATGAGCAAAGAATTACAGAGTTGATGACCTTCCTAGTGGGTCCATCACATATGAGTATAAGTAGAAGCTAACGAGGCATAGGAATGAAGTGGAATATCTCAACTGCATTCATTGGAAAGCTTACCGAGAAACTCCCAGATGCTCCTGGCAAAGATGAACCTGATTCACGCAGCCTCATCTTCAGTGTCTTCATGGTACTCCCACTTCTGCCATCCGGTGCCCTGTGTAGAGAGGTTAAATTTTCTGGGAGCAAAGAAGTAGGCCTCAACCCTGATTCACTTGGATGTGCTGTGGATGCATATGCACATCACATTGCTGTTGATTCGATGTATGAAGTTGTCATATCTGACATTCAAGGTGAGTTCACAATGATGTAATGCAAAGTGGTTCTCAAGTCACCAATAGGAATCATCACACCAGATTGTACTATCATTTTATTTGACCCACAGTCTCACATGTGTGTAACAGACTTTCATATACCTAATGGCCACATCTGATTTTCGCACTACAGGGCACAAGGGGACTCTGGCTACTGGGACCATGGACGATCTGCAATCACCAAGTTTTTAAAATCACACAAATGCAACAAGCATTGTAGGGCTCTCGGTCTCGATACTGAGCTCCCACCTTTATCCAATACCAACCGCAAAGGCCCACTTCATATCAGTTTTGAAGATTAGAACTAATTTCTTTTGAGTCATTCAAATTTTGTTACAATAAAATTTACTCCTATTTCATTTTTCTCTTCTTGTAACCATGCCGCCAATTCTAGACTCATCTAGACTCGGCTATTCTCTTATCAAGTGGGCTGTCCGCACTTCTCTTCTTCTTGATTGTAACATAGATACTATCTTGTGCCACATGGCGGTTTCACCTATCTTTGCTATCTTAATAGGTTGTACTATTATTCCTATCTTTGTTACCTTTCTTGATGCGGTTGCGCCGCTTCCTTTTACCTATATAAACCCCATGTACCATAGCTGTATTCCTTAACTTAATCTACTGGGTTTTCCCCTTGAATCCTGATCTACAAGGTCTCCACCCTTGTAGCCTGATACCTGATTCTAAGGCAGTCACTCACTGTCCTTAGTCTGAACCCTTGATTGCGGTAGAAGTGCTAAAACCACTCGCCGCTGATCCTAGATAGAAGCCGCAGCGCTCGTCTAGTAGGAACCCCTGAAACCTTCCTTGTACTAGAAAGACCGACAAACTGTCAACTCTGATTGGTCTATCTTGACCATTGACAGAAGAACTATCCCAGTTGTAACAAATTTGGTTTCACAATTATGTTCATATTCAACTAATTCTCGATTCACATTTGAGCACAGTGTTACATACACCGACGACTGCCATGACTAAAATATGATTCTATATTAATGGTAGCATTGCTGAAAACATGGACCAGACATTTTCGAAAGTTAAGATAGTGAATCCAAGGCCATCAAATATCAACTGCGCTGCGGCACTATATTCAGAATCAACAAAATGAATGAGATCCTCACCACCAATCTCCTCCATGAGGTTCTTGACAACATCGCAATCCACTAACTGCAGACAGTTCTGCGCATCATAGTCTTTGTGAAGCAATATTGCAACATTCGGAGAGACACCTGAAGGCAATAGTTTATCTCGGTCATAGCGAACAGTGTGTGTTGAGACGATGCTTGAGTGTGTCGAGTTCTTGTTGAATTAAGCGTGGCCATAGCCACTGAACGAGAGCACTAAAATGCAAATGAGAACGAGTCAAAAAACACCACACCTAAACCTACTACTGGCATGGATCCATATCATTATAAATCTCTTCACCCGCTTCCCAAAAAACTTTCATGTTATCTCCCCATTGAACCCGCACACGAAGCCAACCACGCTCGATGGTGATATTATGAACACTCTTCGGAAACCGATGGGCAGGTAACTCGTCAGTTGATAGGTTTGGTGAAAATATTTCCCTTGTAATATAGTATTGTTAGCATAAGCATCACATTGGCTAGTAGTACGAACCTTAAAGCTGTTGCAAAACCATATACATTTGTTGTCTTGCTTCTGCAATCAGTCGTAGTTTGAAGTGGCATTCCTAGGTAAATGATGAACCATCGTGCTCAAATAGATTCACAGAACATACCACCAAGCTCATGGACAAGGGATAAATAAAGGTATGCAATTGATGTCTTGAGCCGGTTGTTTGGGATGACCCACATTCCCAACCACTTTCTGGACCACTGGTCACGGATTGCCCATATAGGAAAACCTATTCTACTCAATTTATCATGCCCATTACCACTCCATTGGTGATGGAGACCAAGCGAGACTAGCGGCTGATGAGAAATCTTCTTTTTTGAAAGTCCCCATTGGGCAAACCTGTCCGGCTCATGTTGCCTCATCTCGTCCGTCACATATTTCCTTGTTCCAAATTAGTTTGTATAAATCAATATATTATAATGATAACATTACCTTGTCAGTAGATTACCAGTGTCCACCACAATTGCTTCCCGGACTAAATGGGGCCCACGGCGGTGAAGGGGATCCTGTGCGAGCTGATCAAGCACCAGTTGCTGCTTGATTGACCGTGGAAGCAAGCAAGTCAGCTGCCCACTTCCAAGGAGTCCAAATTGCTGCCGGCGTCGTACAACAGTTGCTTCACTATGGGCAAAGCATGAGCACACACTAGCAGAACACACAGTTAAATTCACCTCATGACTATACCATGCTCTGCCTGGAGAAGACAACTGATTTTTGACCTATTTGTGATATTATCATGGTGATACTGGGTAAGGATTTTCCAGAGGAATGGATCATTCTTTCAAGCTATCACAGTGTAGAAATTAGTATAATGTTAGTATATTGATGCTACTCAACTCACGACAATGCTGATATTGATTTTTGCCCTCGGGGTTTGGGACACGACTAGAGGTACAGGCATTTCCCTCTGCAGGAAGAGTCTGTGGCTCATCTTTGTTCAGAGCCTCATCCGCATCATGGGAGTCCATGAGAAGAATACAGGATATAACGGTAAGAGTGTACGCACCTAGTACTGTACAAGAGCAGATTTTATACCTGCCTGGTATCATCCGCCTGCACTAACACGGTGGCCCCAAAATGCGGAACTGTGAAGTAAAGCCATGAGCCAAAAGATGTAAGAATATTATCTACTTACTTTAAGATAGACAAACTTGATGATCCTGGAGTAAAAAGTAGTCCACAGTGGTGAAAGGTAATGCCGAGTGCAGCACCACAATGACGGGCACACTAGTGGTAATGACGAGCACACTGATGGTGATGATGAGCTTCGATGGTGGTGGGTGTTGTGGGGAAATGAAACCACAGCCACCGTATTTACTAATACACAAACAATGGAATACAACAAATAATTGTCACATTTGGAAAACTAACCTGATATACATAGTCCACTGTACGCCGCAGACTTGGATATCATAGCTATGGTAGATATATGTAAGATATGCTGCGACTCATATATGTAAAAGCTTTTGACTTAAGCGGGGGCTGAAAAAAAAGGAAAAAAGGAATGGGAATAGAACACAAGAGCGCCCTGCTGCCAGACTGGCGCTGTAAAATAGCTTGAACAATAAAACTCGGCTCCTACTAGTAGGTGAACGCAAATTGAATGAATTGAGCAGCCCTGATAATTGTGTGCGTGTGTGGTGTGCAGTGTGCAACAAGTGCGCACCTAACTCTGAGTGTCCCTATAATATAATATATAATTATCTGTCACGACGTGTCTGGAAGTTCTGCCAATGTGTTGGTGCACACCAGTTATGCCAGCACTTGGTCAAAACTTGGCAACCAAAAGTGTTTTAACTTTTTGCCCCCAACACTAGGGATGCCCGTACTCCACAGATTAGATAATTTACACATGAGGTGTTGACAACGATCATCTTAACACAGCTCAGCTATTTGGCTAAGACATGAGGATGAAGAGAAATTCCTCTGCAAAACCTTACTGAGTAACCACCCATTTGCCAGTGCATTTGCCTACAATTTGTCCCTGAGCATATGATGATTAGCTGTACCATACACTAATTGTGTATAAAAGCCATTCTACTCGTCTCGGTTCTAAAAACTTCATCAACACTACTCCACCATGAAATTCACTTCACTCACCACTATTATCATTTATGCTGCAGCAATGGCTGGAATAGCTATCGCAACTGAAGATGGGGAAAAGTCACCCATAGGCTTACCCTGCATTGACCCTGTTGGATTTAGATTATTTAGATTTCCTTATTGAGTTTCGACTTGGAACTAGTATTGCCGTAGCTCTGGCTTGTGGCCAGCTTTAGCCGCGAGTGGAGCTGTAGGTAGCCAAACCATGTATGTAGTTATAGCTTATGTAATTAGTAGTTTGGTCCAGTCTATGGAGCCACATTTCAGGTCTTAAAGCCAGCTCAAGCCAGCTTAATAATAATAATATTATATATATATATAAAATTGTATTAAAATGACACAAGTCTATGCTCTTAATATGTAGTGGTTTCTTTAGTGGTGAGATAGGATGAGAATGGATATACTACGCATGACGAGAATGTACTACAGAAAATTGGTAGCGGGTGATAATAGAAACAAATTTACCGGTACAGCATACAGGCTCATGTTTTGGGATACCTGGTGAAGATGAAGCTAAAATGATGCGAGCTGGACAGTCCTCCATACCTGGAGGGTGTTGGAGGAGATGCCGTTAATGATGGCAATGTGGGTGGTGTGATGTAGGAAGAGCTGGGTGGGAGGATTTTGGGATACCTTGGAAGCTCAAATAATGTGAGCCATGTAGTCCTCCATACCTGGGGGTGTTGGAGGAGATGCCGCTGATGACAACAATGTGGGTGGTGTAGGTGTAGGAAGAGTTGGGCAGGGGGGAATTCAGGCTTTGACGGTGAAGGATAACAATGACCATATGTAGGTGTAGGTGCCAAAGTGGCTGGAGGAGGCAGGAAGGGATTTGTAGTAGGAGGAGTTGTCTGGGATGATGAGGGAAGAATGTGAGAAGGGTAAAGTTGTTGACATACCAAATACTTCTTGACCATGTCCTCAAACTCCCTAAATGCCACCGGATCCACATTGAGCTCCCACTCCAGATACTGACACATCTTGTGCTCTGTCTGGCTGGTTTCGTGCAGTTGGAATGTGCCCTTCATCTGGAGTCTGAGAGGGAGAGGTGGGTGGGTGCAAAGAACGATAGAGGGGGATAGATGGGTGGTGTGATGTAGGAAGAGTTGGGTGGAGGGAAAGCAGGCTGTGGCAGCAAGGAATAATGATGGCCATATGTAGGCATAGGTGTCAAAGCAGCTGGAGGAGGTGGGGAGACATTGAGAATGCATGAGAATGTAAGAAGATTAATAACACACCTTGTAGTTGAATCCATAGCTCAGCTGAGCAATTTGGATATACAAACTATCTGCGAGACAACTTGTGGTGAGGTGAACATGCCATGCGTCTGAGTAGCATGACCAGCTAATGGGCACAAGAAAATCTTAAGTCTAAGACGCCCGCTGGCAACTAAATTGAGCACCCTCTCACAGGGCCAAGAATAACTTACTAAAAATAGAACTCGACTTCACATCTACCACCGACAAAGCTGAGAGATCAATATCATAGCAATCTACTACCAGTCTACTACTGGATCTACACTCATCGTCCCTCAACACATAACTATTCAAGTACATATGGGTCCCCAAAATAATGTATGTGGTCCGAATTGTCTGATGAATGTTTGATTGAAAGCTAAACATATGTTAGTTGTATGGCAGTGCTGCTCGTGCATGACACTTACAAGAGTAGCGGATGACTGAGCAGGAGGTCAGAGCGGCAGGACAGAGAAGAGAAAGGGAGAGAAGAGAAGAGAGGAGAGGAGAAATAAGAGGGGATGGAGGAAGGGAGAGAGGAAGGGAGGGAAGGGAGAGAGGAGGGGAGAGAAGAGGGGAGAGAGGTCAGATGCCAGGGAGATCAAGGTGGCGATCTTGGTTGTTAAGGATGTTGGGGAGGCAGGGATAGAAGTGGCTGTTGTAGGGAGAGCCATATAGATTTGAAAGTGTCTGTACATGATTGCATCAATGATTACTCACTTGAATGGCTCCAGGATTGACGTGTGATGCGCACATACATTCAGCATGTGGACGTAGACCTTCCATTGCTGGTCCTTCACTTTGAGACCATGACAGATATCTAACCGCCTGTTCTCTGTAGTGAGTCGACTGTCCTAGAGTGGTGTGTGTGATATGTCCCACTGGAAAACAACAGGTAGGCTAGAGTATCCTTGTAGGCTTGACGGACCAGCAGCTGTTGAACACCACTCTTACGGCTGAAGACACAATGTTGAGACAGATAATACGAGCTTACTTACAACGATGCATGCAATTCCAGCAGGAAACAAGTTCTTTGTATGTGCCTTGGAATGGGAACTATGTGTCCATGCCGTCCATGCGATTCGAGCAGGAAACAAGTTCTTTGTATGCGCCTTGGAATGGGAACCACACCTCCAGATCACATTTCTTTGACCTTGAAGATGCTGTTCACTCTGCGCAGTTTGACTTCTTTCGTTGAATGCCATGTCAATGCTTCAAAGAGTATTAGGGAACTTGAGGTAAAACAAAGAGTAAAGCACCTACAATGCTCACGAACCTTCTGCGCCTTGATGAGGGGGCCAGGGAAAATCCCTTCTGCGAGTGATGCCCAGCAGAAGGCCTGAAGACTTGCATAATAGCTCAACGAGTTGTGAGCCAGTACTGAGAATGCCCCAGACCTAGTAGGATTCACCCCATTTGGCCAAGAACACCTTGGAAAATGATCAGTGATATGTATGGGGTCAAAAGCTGCAACCGTACCTGATTCCCGATGTTGATCATGTGGATCATAAGCATCAAGACGAGAGTCAGTGCCCAGTACATTAAACCTGCCGCCTTGATGTATGTATACCCAATAAGTTCTGAAAGGCACCCGGCCTTCCGCCCGAACTTCTGCTTCCATTAGTTTTTAACAATTTGAGATGGCCATTGCTTGGGAGAACATCCTCGGCTGTCAGTTTGGCCAGATACTAGATTATCACTCACACCTCGACATTTGATTTCCAGCCCCAAACTCATCATGCACTCAGAACTACGTCTCATGGTGAGAAACGTGAGTCTGAAGACTATGAGAGGTGGACGGGCAAAGTGGCGAAAGATTGCCAAATTGAGAAGTCCAAACTGTTTGGACAGACATCTGCAATGTTTGATGAGTGTTGGCGCACTGCAAAGTGTGAGTAGAGGTGATTAGCCAGTACTTGTAAAGACCGAGAGAACACTTGGCCTGTTGAGATGAAGTGCAGGCTGTCAAGGAAAGGTGAATAATGAACAAGTTTGCTATTGCAAACAGTCAGGAAGCTAGAACATGTAAAGATAGGGCAAACAAGAGATAAGTAGGGAAAGCAAACATCATAGCTCATAGGTAGTAGGAAAATCATCTATGTCGTCACACTCATCCTCTGCAATAGCTCTGAGAAGATTGTTGCATATATCACCTGTAATGCCACTGTTAGTTAATGACAAAACAGTGTTGGATTCCTGTCGTTCGTGCAACATCTTGTACTCCATATCCTTTTGCAATGCTGCCCAACCTTTGGTAAAGTTGAGTCGCTCTTTTTTCAGGAGGAACTTCACCACCTGCAGAGCTTCCATCAGGACCAGGCTTGTGCGATTACGTTTCTTCGTGTAAGTTTCACTACTAGATGAAAAAACTCGCTTGCATGGAACAGCGGAGGCCTGTATTGGGAGATGGTCCATTGCAATGCCGAAAATTGTCGGAAATGATGTCTCTGCAACCTGGTCAACACCTCATGGTCAATGATGAAAGGTATAACATATGGAGATGCAGGACACTCACCTCCCAGAATGCAAGTATGTCCATTGTCTTGGGGCTAAGATTAGCCATAGCGTAGGCCTCAAACTCTTGCTCAACTGTTTGGGCAATGCTGTCATGACGCAGCAGGACATTGGTGTCAGTAGTTCATAGAGGTGCGAGCCTAGCATGCATGGTTGTTCTCGAAGTACTACTTCATTAGCTGAAGACCCTACATATGCTGAGCCATTTTCAGCTCGCTTTTGATGCATCTACATGAGATAATATCAGTTTGACCTTTGAAGTTGCATGGTAGACATACCAGATGGATTATATGCTTGTCTACATCTTTATTCATTTGTTCCCACCAATGACTCCGAACCCATGACATTCGGATACTAGGATCAACGACTGATGAACTCAAACATGAGCAACCATACATTACTAAAAGATATTGATGGACTCACACATAGCAACTGCATAGGCATTTGTGGCGCCCATCCTCTTGTCATACTTATCAGCCTAATCCAAACCTATCTGGACAAGAGGGTTACAGTGTGGGACATGTTGGGCCAAAAGCTTCCAGTGCTCGATAAACATTTCGAATGCTGGAAATGCACTGCTCAGCTTGGGAGTGCGTTTGCCTGACATGCATTGTTGGGCAGCATGGGGCGCCTGATATGACACAGTCAGATGAAGCGTGAATTTTGAATATACTAAAACTAACCTCTAGAATCACTTCAATGTCCTGTAAGAACTGCCACTCCATCGGAACTCAGTTTGAATTTGCTGATAGAGCATTGAGTGGGAGAGTCAAAGAATAAATCTATTGCCTGGGCAACTATCAGTCATGTCAGATGTTTAGTGGGTGATGTCTTACCTGGCGAATGGTTCGCAAATGGTTAAGCATGATATAGACTGAATCCCAGCAAGTTGACTCATCAAGCAGGAGTTCGACAATGGGGAGCTGTAGTTTCACACCCAAGTCGTCTTGAAACCACTCCTTCTCGTTACCTGTGATGATGGTGTCCCTGAAAAATCATGTCGCTGGTTAGATGCACGAATTGTGCGCACAATGTCCCTAGCTCTGAGAATAGCTTTCCCTGACATGGCCTTGAGATACTCATGCTTTTACGATAGTGCGATTGACAATGACCCAATAGTCGGGCACAAGCGAATAGTCAGCTGTGTGGTATTCTTCGATGATGTGCTTCACACATATGTTAATGATGTGGGGGAAACACAGGATTCTGTGCAGTCAATGGGAGGGAAATCAATCCTCTGGGACTCGAGTTTGTGTGACAGCTCCCGCATGGCAACCTGGTTGTTGGAGGCATTGTCCAAGGTGAAATGACCAGTCTAAACAAAGTTAGAGCATGCTACACAGGCACAACTAAACACTAACCTTCTTGGTCACACCGGCACTGATCCAGAAGATGTGATATTACTTCTGCTAGCAATTCTCTAGTGTGACTTCCTGGGACGTGATGGAAGGCTATTCAACGCTGCATTTCAAGACTGAGGACTGAACTATGGTCTGCTCTAGCAATCCAGTGGGCAGGTAACAGCCATGAATGGGCAAAGGTTAAAATCCGACCAGAGGTCCGATGTGAACTGAAAACCTTCCCCAGGGCAGCCTGAAGAATATAAGATGCTTTGCAGGGCTCTCGACAACTGTAGACCTACTACAAGGTCCCTCTTCAAAGCATTGAAGTGCTCATGGAAAGCATCAATGACCAATTCACATATTTTAGTTTGATAAAAGACATCAGTCTCATTGAGCAATGGCCGCAGAAGACGGATCAGGCAGCGAAATTCTGGGCATTCAATAATGCTGATTGCCTGAAAGCAATTACTGACTATAGTATGTAGAAAGTGTGCATCAACTCACCTGATCATTGGCAATGATAAATCTCACGATCTGTTTGTGCATTTTATCCAGGGTAAAGTTAGGCAGTACGTCATCTGGAGCTAACAGGATGGTACTGGTGAGTGAGCTAGGACTTGGGGGAGTACCGAGTGAGTCCAAGGTGTAAGCCGGATCCTTGAGCTGTTGATGCAAGGTCGTGATCATCCAGCCATCATCCAAAAATGTTTTCAAATGCAATGAAGCATGGACATGCCAGTGGTTGTGCTCTGCTTCTTCCAAATAAATGATGGTATGCTCATTAAATGCATGTGTCTGACAACCTGTAGTGCCTGTAGTAGCAAGGTATGATACAACAGCATGAGTATTGTCATGAGCATGGATTTCTCTTGCAAATTATGTTAGAAAAAACAATAGACTGCAGATACAATACTCACTTGCAGGCTTTACAGATTCTAGACTGAGTGACAGGGTCCTGTCTGTAGAAGAAATGAACATTGGCAGAGGATTTAGGTGGTTTGGCTCAGCCACCAGTGGCCAGAGGGTCAGTTCTGGCGGTATTCATTGCAGTGTAGAAAGCTGATTCCTGCTGGGCTCAGCAGAAATTGTACTACCTAGACAACAAATATTTAGGTAGATCTTAGCATGACCTAGTCTGCTATACTTGCAGAGCAAGTACATTTGATCCTATGGGGGTAGCTGTTTGGTATTAGTTTCGATAGTTAGTTATCAGTAATAGGAAGATAATCTGAAGTTAAGAACTACTTGTCCGAAGGGAAACTGTTGGGTCCGAAAATATTGGAGTCGGGTCGGGCGTCGGACTATGCATCGGATGGTAAAGGAATGTGTCGGAAGTATGTCGGAATGTTGATCAAATGAGTGTCGGATGTGTTGGAATGTTTCGGAGAAAAAGAGCAGATAGATATTTCGCAATACAATTAAGTACTACTTATATCCATTGACTTCCATCCTACTGAGTAGGGAAAAGTAAGTAATGCAATAGGTAGGAAGTACTAGATATTAAATAGTGACTATGTAGAAATTCGGACTGCTATAGGCGAGAGTAGTAGCAATATTTCGGGTCTGAAATCCTATGTAATAGGACATGTGGTACTGCGGACCATGAGAAAACATGTAATAACACTGTATACAATGCTTAGCAAGTCAAAAGGAGTAAATGCGCACCTAGTGGGGATAGATGCGACTGGGCAGGACATAGGGAGGACTGGTCCGATGCGCGGGAATGTCGGGTTGGGATCAGACTGTCGGACTCGGGTTGGGGTAGTTGGAAGTGTGTTGGATGAATACTGTTTGACATCAGTATCAAAATAGCTGGTTCCAAGCCCAGCGCCACGACCATTATTACAGCAGTCTGGAGTGGACTAGGGCATACAACAGGTGTTACTGTGAGTGCAGGAGGGTTGGCCGCTTTGTCTTCCTCATCATCGGAGATGTTCTCAAGGTGAAAGGATTCCCCTTTATCTGCAGTGGGACTTGAACCATTATCTCTGAATCTAACAGGAAGCTGACGACGTCTTGGGGGATTTTGAAGCACGGACACATTTGCTGCAGCAGCAATGGGAGCGACAGCAGGAGTTGCAGTAAGAGGAGTGGCAGTAATGGGAGCAGGAGCGGCTTTGGGAGCAACCTGGAAAGTGTTCTTCCGTCAAGGAGGCATGGTGGTGCTGAAGGATCTAATGTCAAAATTACCTGTCTATATAGGTTTTCACCATGGGAAACCCCAGAGCATGCCAATGTGCAGTGATTGCGAGTCCCTGATGGAAAATCCATAGTTGTCGCTAGTGAAGTAGCCTTGATGTTTTAATGCTATATGCGAGTCAGATGAGTGAGAGCCTTGAGGAGCAAAAAAACTAATGTGATTTTGAGATAGGGACTTACTAGAGGCAATTGACTCCAGCAGAGGGCCCAGAGGCTCTCTATATTGCAACAGAATGGATGGGATAAGGTCCTTGTGCAGACAGTGGGTGACTGTGGCCCATGGGTGACCATGTAACTGAATGATCAAGGAAATCAGAAATCAGATCCTCATTTTCAGGCTGAATGACTCTTCAGAAAGTCACCATGAGTCTCTCATTGCTGAGTTGCGCTGCTGTTACAAGAACATCTAGACGCTTGGGCCCCTACCATTTTTCTCCTAATCCTCCTCGTATCAGCCCTTGCGTCATACCCTTACCCCGACCTTACCCTTGTTATCCTTGTCATCCTTGCATTCCCTTTCGCTCTCTACCTGTCGCTTCAGCAGAGCCAGTACATCTGGCTGGATCCTTTCACTGATGAAGCATACCCATGCTTCGTTCCACCACCTGACTGATCCTGTGGACAGTCCCCTTACCCTTACCGTCCGGACGGTAACCTATGATATGATGCACGATGCATCCCCTTTGCCCTTTTCCCTTTCTCGATCTTTGACTCAGTGCGCAGCCGCACATGTTACTTATACTTAGCTCCACAGCTGCACGATCGTGCCCCTGCGCGTTTCACTTCTTATTTTGACCTTTGACTCACTTTCTTATCAAGCACATTCTGGTTCACCCGTGTCTCACCCCGAATGTGCCTTCCTTTTATGGTTATGCCATTTACCGGTTACTTCACTTGGTAGTACGAGTTATCACCCACTAATACGTCTCCTGTCCTCTATATAAACTCGCTACCATGTACCATATTCCCTAACTTGAATCTACTTGGTTCTTGACCTCCTACTCTCACCAGAGTAATCCCTTTTGCCTAGCCAGCAGTCTATATTCTATCTTCTTATCTGCTCTTCGTGGATAAGCCTATAGTCTCGATCTTTACTCATTGACTTCGTCGACGAGCAAAGCCCCTGTTAACTAGTCGGACTTCCGTCCTTCTAATTAACGACGATCTTACGATTAACCTTCGGGTGTCGTAAGCCTTGGCAGATACAGCTCATCGTCTAGCACCCGCTTGACGTAAGCTACCCGATTTGGACATAGGCATCAAATCTTACTTGCCGAAGCCTCACCAAGTAAGACCCCTAACCTTGGGCTAGCCCAAGGACGTCCTCGACCGTTGATGACACACACTCTGTTTGAGCGTCGCCAACAGATACCATCCAAGTCGTAACAGCTGCTGCCTGCAGCATGTTGAAAGATAAGAGGTTGTGTTGTGCGTGGGAGTTGGAGAAATGAGATATTGTCTTGATATTAGTCATAGACTCAAAGGCTGTGCTCCTGCCGCTGCTATGAAACCTATCATGATAGAATCATTAGCTCACATAGTATGCATATACAGTTGTATGTACAAGTAACAAGTAACACTATATAACAGTGTCATGATATATAAACTAGGCCTTTTTCCGGCGTGGAGTTGAGGCAGTTGCACGCAATGGGGAGGGGTGATTATGTGTGCATAAACTTGCAATAATGTCAGTTCAAAAGTGAGGCCATAAAATGGACTACTGACACATGAGACGATCTGCAAAGCGGCGGGCATGGACTTGAAGGCACTGCCTTGATTTCCCAGGGTTCATCATAGCATGGAAGGGGATGTGTGGTAGGCACACCAGGCTTGCCGAAATCCAGCTGTGTGCTTGCTGGAGCAGGTGATGTAGAATAAAGTACACGAAGTAAGGAACAAATGTGGTTGTAGTCAGGGTCCTCTGAGAATGCAAGAGCACACATGTAAATGAGAATTGTTGCAAATTGGACAGGAATTCCTTGACACAAAACTTCGATGGTAGTGTTGACTTTGCGCTTGAGTATGGAAGAGCTGGAAAGCTTCTCTTGGTCACTGGTCAACCATGGAAGAGAGCCCTGCAAACAGTATATTAACATGTATATGAGTGACTCAAGGTCATCACGACGACCCAGTTCAAGTCCTAAATGATCGTTGATTGATGCAAATGCAGGAATGCCAGTAAGACATTGACCTTGGCAAAATGGTATATGGACTCCGGTTGATGTGTTCCAGAATTCCTTTGCAGTGCCGAAATCGATGAGAAAGGCAGTGTGCTTCAAATTGCCAAGGCCCACCACAACATTCTGTGGTTTGATATCACCGTGGATGTAATTATGTGAATGAATATATTCAAGACGTGAAAGCTGGGAGATGGGGTTAGCGATCTGTATGTGCAATGGCAATACACACACCAACTGACCAGCTGGTCTCCTAGATTCACAACAGTGTCAAGGCTAAATTTTCGGTTGTGGGCAGGGAAGATATGATGCAGCGATGGCCCAAGGAGGTCAAGAACTAGAGCGTGATATGCTGACTCCCTACCAAACCAAAGGGCATGGGGAATCCCAATACCACCTTCAAGGTTTTTCAAAATGTGGTATTCACGCTGCACGGAAGATGAGTGGTTGATAGGTTCAAGCTTGATGATGACTGCATTATCCTTGATGATATTCTGTGCACGACACACAACAGCTAAATGTGGTCCAAATGTTGAATCAACATGTAGTCAGTGATATAGGAATGACATACTGTACGAGCCAAACCCCAACACATCTCCCAGCCTAAACCTTCCATCAACTCGAGTAGGGACCTTATCCATGATGTATACAATAGCCTAAGTATAAAATAATGTGAAATCAACTAACTGAGAGGACAGTGATTGATATTCTGCCACCCAACTGCCACTTTTGCATTTCGGCCTGGACTGGCTTGAGCCAGCTTAAAGTGGTTCAAGCCAAGGTTCACACATTTTTGGTTGAAACCAGTTTGCATGGCTTACAAATCGGACCGAGTCACTAATCAGTGGCTTGGCTCACAATAATTGCCAAACTTCTGGCAAACTGGCAAATGCCGAATCGGAGCTGACCATAGCCGAGCCATGGTAATACTAGTCCCTAGTGGTACATTGTCACAATTGGCTGCCCATGTGAGATGGGTATATGTTACTGCATTATGTGGGTAGCTGCCTGTAGGAGCATTCCTATGAACTACAGGCTACTATAAGCTACTACAGTATTGCCTCGTAGTACTATGTAATACTACATAGTTGCCTTACTGGCTATATACAAGGCAGGTAGCCCCCGAGCTCCACTGACTATGCTGACTATATAGCACTATATAGTCAGCTTGCTTTTTCCTGATGTTTGTGGTTGAATCGCAAGTACAGTTCCCAAGTAATTGGTCCATCTTTGGACAATGAACATCATGAACAATGTTCAATTGGTTGACTGATTAGTACTATATATAATAATAGTCTCTCTGGCGTTGCTGCAATGCATCATGGTGGACTCCTAGTACTTCAGGGGATTTGCAGCTCACCTTTTCCAAAGTGCAGATCCTCATTCGGGACCAGATAGCATTTCGTGCTCTCACTCACTTTCTTAGTCCGTCATACCTCTGCTCCTGTAGCTCCACATTCGAGTAGAATGCATTTATCTAATGATCCCTCTTACAAAACTTCTGTTAGCCTCCGAAGAATCCGAAGGAGAAGAGGGCGAACAGCTGGTAGCTGAGAGGAAGGATGGAGGAACGGCCAAGAGAGAGAACCAGAATAGAGGATAACTGTTGCGAGTGCCTCCAAACAGAGAAGGACACATATGTGTCATCGTCAGCAAGACTCTGCCATCTTTTTAAGTATATTTTCAGGCTATACTGTGAGAAGGATACATTATAAAACTAGTAATATCAGTGTGAGGGTGATACATGAATCGTTGTACTACCAAGAATTACTAGCAGGTATGGCAGTGATGTATCAGTGGAGGATCCTACCTAGCAGCCTGCCAGTCCAGGTTCTTGGCTTCCATCAAGCTTAGTCAAGCATGTGCCTTGCTTCCTTCACTTCTGATCTCGGCTATATTTGCTCAAATCTATTTCTATCCTGTCTTCCTATGCTTCTTTTATTCATCAGCACCTATTTTGTTATACTAGTGCCGGGTCATGCAGCCCACCGGATACACCTACTCGTTCGTTCAAATTTTCTGAATCCCACCCACAGTGACCCACCACTTCCGTTATCTTAGTTGTCTGTTAGTTTAGTGTTTCACACACCATAGTTACCTATTTCTTTACTGAAAATATTGTCATATTAGCGCTTATCAAGTCCTTGACATGTTTGAATTTCATGAGCAAGTATCCCGCCCTCCCAGCGGCACAGTAATGTATCAGTCAAACACTGCAGAAATTTGACTGAGTCCAACCTTGAGAAATTTCAAAGGCCAAGTCCACGGCACAGTAATGTATCAGTCAAACACTGCAGAAATTTGACTAAGTCCAACCTTGAGAAGTCCATGGCACAGTAATGTATCAGTCCAACGCTGCAGAAATTTGACTAAGTCTGACCTTGAGAAATTTCAAAGGCCAAGTCCACAAAACTGGACCCAAGATCTGAGTACAGAGATCCGAGTCAGTAATGTATCAGTCAAATGCTGCAGAAATTCAACTAAGGATCCAGGTCAGTAATGTATCAGTCGAGCTCAAATGCTGCTGAAATTCGACTAAGTCCAACCTTGAGAAATTTGGCCAAGTCCACCAAGTCAAACATCAATACTGCTTGGCTGTGAGCTTGGGCGTTTCAGTCCTTAGTATGGTGGCAGCATTACAAGTAGCAAACATGACATGGTTTTCATTCACACAGAATGAGGTATTACACAACAGACTCAAGCAACACATACATGTAGTACACTAGGAAGCCAATTATGGTACACTAACAAGAAAGCCAATTATGGTACGCTAACAAGAGTAGCTATGAAAGTAGCTATCAATGAACACAAAATATTTTACCTAAGTTGTACTGATGACATTGGCAGCAGCAGCCCAGGATGACTGGAAGCTGTTAAGATCGTGCTCAAAGGTTCAATCTGAAGGGCTTGGCTTCAGCTCGTGCACTGCGCCCCTTACCCGAGTACGTGCCCCTAACTTCCAAAGGCTAATGGACGATGTCCAGATTCCGATTGTCCGATGCGCGGGAATTCCGGTGGACGTTCGGGAACAGGTGATAAGACTAATCTGGACAATGTCCGAACTAGAAAGGAAACAGTGGAGGACTACCAAAGGTAGAGGCGGAGGTGATAAGTCTACCGGGATCGACCCTAAGACTAGCGGAGGTCGACAAGAGAATAACTCAAGTCAAACGGAGGGGAGAATGAGCAGAGTCTAAGGGCCTGTACAGCAACAGATTATTACACAGATTATCGCTTTGGATTATTTGTACAGATTATTCCCACACAACCTGGCATGACTTTTCAGCACCTTCCAATGTCACTCATCCAAACCCTAACGTAGGGGCAAAACTGCGCTGACATCATACCATGCCTCATCCAAAGGACCTGCCGCACAGGCTCCGTCTCTTGCGAACTGTTGCGGCAATGATTGCACAGTTAATTATTACAATTGCTGTAGCCTATATTACTCCATACCTTGACAAAGAGCCATATCATACTTCTATATTGTCTGGCTTCGCATGGGTCCAGGAACTTCTCAATGGACACCCCGAAAGGATCAAAAATGAACTTGGGATGTGAAAGCATGTATTTCTTGCACTTGTTCAAGAACTACGGGACTCTGGGTTAGATGACTCAAAATTCATCACACTTGAAGAACAAACAGCAATTTTTTTGTATTCCTGTAAAAGTCGACATGTTGCTGAGAGGTTTCAACACTAACATACCACAATTACAAAGTACCATTTTTTTAAAAATGCTTGGCTACTTGACTCAAAAAAATCAGGTACTTCAAGCGAATTCTTCTCGCTCTCTCATCCTCACCTTTCTACAAGAGATACATGTTTTTGCCAAAAGAAGATTCTCCTATTCCACATGAAATTCGCAAGAACCCCAAGTTCTTTCCATACTTCACAGGAGCTCTTGGGGCAATTGATGGCACTCACATCAACTGCTGCCCCTCTGCAGATGAGAGGCATCTTGCACATAACCGAAAAGGAGGAGTCAGTCAAAACTGCCTGGCATGCTGTTCTTTTGATCTCTGATTTCAGTATATCCTCAGTGGCTGGGATGGATCAGTATCAGATGCCATGCTGTTCAATGAAGCTTGGCTGATGGATCTTTTTGTTCCAAAGGGAAGATATTATCTTGCTGATGCAGGGTTTGGTATATGTGAAGCACTGCTTGTACCTCACCGAAATGTTCGCTACCATCTTGCAGAGTGGGGCAGAGCTGCCGTGAGGTTCGTATTTTCTAAGTCCTCAAATCTGTCCACAGACCAACATCTTTTGCTAGACCAAAAAATTCACTTGAATTGTACAATCTCCAACATGCACAAGCACGAAATGTTGTTGAATGGATTTTTGGTGTACTCAAGAGACAATTTCCGATACTCATAAACCCACCAGAATATAGCATGACCTTCCAAGTTCGTATCCCTCCCGCACTCTGTGCTGTACACAACTTTATTCGGATTCATGACCTGGATGAAATACGTGAATTTGATGATGGTAGTATTGATGGCTCAGAGTTGGGGAATGATAGGGGAGATCTAGCAGAAGGACCAGCAAATTTTGAAGAACGAGAAGCAGCAAAGGAACAAAGAGAAGAGATAGGAAACAAAATGTGATGAGACTACCAAGTATTCCTGCGGGAACGTTAACGAACACATAGAAGGTAGTAGAGGTTAACCTAATATATTCTCGTAGAAGTTAAAAAATTATTGACTATTGATGTGCGTGATTTTTTGATTGATGAATGAGTGACGAGCATTGTCATCTCGCATTACCATATATGCATCCGCAGCACTGACATCGGTCTGGAAGGCTTCAATGAGAGCAGCCATTTCATCACCAGTGAGATGGGTCTCGACATTCTGGGCACGTTGCATGGCACGCTGCCTTCAAATTGGTGATGGAGCGAGAGACAATGACTGGGCTTGAGAACTTGAGCGAAATGCATCAGTGAAGTCCAAAAACTGGTCAGCAATAGCAAACAGTGCTGCGGCACCACTCGCACAATTCCTCTTTGATGCTGGACCCAAAGTTGAACTGGTGGAAGTAGAAGCAGAGATACTGTCAAATTTTTGCTTCGGAAGGGGAGCTGGAGTGTGACTTTGATGAGGTGGAGTTTTGTCCCAAGGGATCAAGTCTTCGTCATCCCCACTCTCATCTAGAACATCCTGATCATCTCGAGATGAATTCTTGACATGGTCAGGCTGCGGAAGGCCCTCTTCATTCAGAAAATCGAGATCAGGTGACTGCTCGCGGGACTCCTCCAACGCAGCATGAAATGTGTGAGTTCCTTTTGAAGCAGTAGTGGACAAAAGAGTATTGAGTTCATCAAAGTGTGGCCATCCCTTGTTGTGAAATGGTGCAGCATCAGGGCGCCTCTTGAATCAAAAATGAGATACATAGTATACTGCAGAAAAAAAAACTGTACCTTGACATATGCAGCCCATACTGCCTCTGACATACTGTCAATGCCAGCACCAAACTCGTCGTCCCAAGAAAAGCCAGACTGGGCCTTGATATCAAGAATGATCTTGTGTTTTTTTCGTATCTGAAAATGTGTGAGTTGCATCAAGAAAAGAATAGATGCACTTACTGCAGCCCACTTGTTCTTGAAAGCACGAGAATCTCTTGCAACAGGTGGCACCCATCCTTCCTTCGAAACTCCTTCAGGGGGCTCAAGGAAATGAGCAGCTGCAGCTTGAAAGACTCCAATCTTGAAGTTCATTCCATCACCGGCTTCTGATCTATGTGAAGCCAGAAACTTGATCAGCCTCGAGGTGTGATCTTCAGTCCAATGGGTCCGACTCAGAGTTGTACTGGTTGTCAAGATTTCAGATGGCACATTTTCTTGCACCGTCGAACGAGTTTTTCCAGATGGTGGTTTCCTAGGATTTGCCGCCACAGATTTTGGCGTTTGCGAGCAAGCCATATCTGACAGCGAGGAGGTTCAGTGCAGAGTCGCACTGTATGTCACACAAAGTCACACTGGAGCTCACACCATGGGAATAATCTGCGCAAACAATTGTACAAATAATCTATCATATAATCTGTTGCTGTACAGGCTCTAAGATAATATTCAAACTAAAGATGTACATAGATTCTACAGGGTTTATATACTATGGAGGACTTAACGGAGGACAAGCCAGCGCAGTCCGAAGCTATGCAAGGCTGTGGATGGAGGTTATGGAAAAGTCAAACACTAGTCTATCAAAAAATAGTAAATGAACCCAGAGATGAGAACAGAGGAAAATAAAGGCGGAAGTGAAATGAGGTACAGAAAATAATATAGTCTAACTGGAATAGGAACATACAAAGGGATTAGGCATGGAAGTTAGATGCGGGTCAGATCCGGACATAGATAGAAGTTGGTCGGACCTGGATATCCGGAAATGATGTGTGTGATACGTCTGGGTCCGGAATGCAGGATATGACAGAAGCGCTGTCGTTTACCTTGGCCTCCCTCAATGGGCTGCGAGCTCTCAGTGGATGAGACCACTGCACCCTCCCTCTTCTGACGCTTTGCAGAGACTGTCTCGAGATGTGTGTTGCTCTTCATGGACTTGCATTTGGAAGCCTTTGTTGTCACTGGTAACACCCCGCCAACTGTGGCGGGTGGAGAAGGAGTGGCCATAATAGGTTCTGTGGTGGGAGGTTCAGGCACAATTGTAGATGGCTGCACAGAAGTAGGGATTTCTGCCAGAGTTGGGGTGTGCGCAGGAGCAGGAGTTGCCATGGAAGCAGAGGCATTGTTGTATGGAGCAAACGTGCGAGAATTGACATGTGCAGTGTTGATGAGAGCAGATAATACGTGGCAAAGATGAGGAGGAGATGTCAGCAAAGTTGTGAGGGCGAAGGTGTTGTCAGAGTCATGTCTGGAGGGACCAGCAAAATTAAAGTCTGCCACATCGCGGGACGAGATATCATGACTAGTTCTCAAGGTAGAAGTTAGAGGAGGGAATCCTGAAGAAGGAAACCAATCCATTTGAGAGGAAGTGGGCGAAGACGGAGAAGATGAAGGTAATGGAGATGGTGGCTTGTAGTTGGGCGGCATCAGTAGGATTGTACAATTGAAATCTAAATCAATGTCGTCATCTTGAAGATCGGGGGGAGCAAATTGGAAGAAGTCATAAGTGGGCTGTCCCAAAAGTGTACCCGACAGTTCTGAGTGCAACGGGGATGATTCTGACAGAAGGAGCGATGTATCGGGTGTGGAAGTGGCACATATTACAGTGACATATTTCTGTATTATACAGGTCACCCGACCTACATAATATCCCATATAAGACAGGCCAGCGGACTATGGGCCAATGTTATGTATATCCCCGATGTTGACGGATGGGCCGGGAGGGATATTATTTCCGATGGAGACGGGTGGGCCCATCTATGCTGATATTATATATATCCTCAAAGATGTCGGGTGGGCTGATGTAATGGTTTATTGTATAGATGGGTGGGCCGAGGGAGTGGTGGAATATGTATTATATAGACAGGTGGGCCAACATACTGGAATTATTTTGTAGACGGATGGGCCGACAGAGTGGTGAAATATTCATTATATAGACAGGTGGGCCGAGGTAGTGAGATATCTGTCTGACATTCACGGATTACCGAGTCCCAGATGCCCAAAAACCGAATACCATTG